TCGCTCCTAAATATTCCACAGTCAACTGTCAGCTGTATTATAAGAAAATGGAAGTGTTTGGGAACGACAGCAACTCAGCCACGAAGTGGTAGGCCACGTAAACTGACGGAGCGGGGTCAGCGGATGCTGAAGCGCATAGTGCGAAGAGGTCGCCAACTTTCTGCAGAGTCAATCACTACAGACCTCCAAACTTCATGTGGCCTTCAGATTAGCTCAAGAACAGTGCGCAGAGAGCTTCATGGAATGGGTTTCCATGGTCGAGCAGCTGCATCCAAGCCATACATCACCAAGTGCAATGCAAAGCGTCGGATGCGGTGGTGTAAAGCACGCCGCCACTGGACTCTAGAGCAGTGGAGACGCGTTCTCTGGAGTGACGAATCGCGCTTCTCCATCTGGCAATCTGATGGACGGGTCTGGGTTTGGCGGTTGCCAGGAGAACGGTACTTGTCTGACTGCATTGTGCCAAGTGTAAAGTTTGGTGGAGGGGGGATTATGGTGTGGGGTTGTTTTTCAGGAGCTGGGCTTGGCCCCTTAGTTCCAGTGAAAGGAACTCTGAATGCTTCAGCATACCAAGACATTTTGGACAATTCCATGCTCCCAACTTTGTGGGAACAGTTTGGAGCTGGCCCCTTCCTCTTCCAACATGACTGTGCACCAGTGCACAAAGCAAGGTCCATAAAGACATGGATGACAGAGTCTGGTGTGGATGAACTTGACTGGCCTGCACAGAGTCCTGACCTCAACCCGATAGAACACCTTTGGGATGAATTAGAGCGGAGACTGAGAGCCAGGCCTTCTCGTCCAACATCAGTGTGCGACCTCACAAATGCGCTTCTGGAAGAATGGTCAAAAATTCCCATAAACACACTCCTAAACCTTGTGGACAGCCTTCCCAGAAGAGTTGAAGCTGTTCTAGCTGCAAAGGGTGGACCGACGTCATATTGAACCCTATGGATTAGGAACGGGATGTCACTTAAGCTCATATGTGAGTCAAGGCAGGTGAGCAAATACTTTTGGCAATATAGTGTATGTTTAATGGCTAAGAAAGGAAAAAAAAAAATACCGGTACATGAGCAGATGTCTGAAACCACAGCTAACATTGATATATTCAGAAAAAAAAGCTCTTATTAGGAGTAACAACAATCAAGTGTTCGACTGCTTCTTGATAAGACTGCATGTGTTCTCCATTTGCTAAAGAAATGTATTTGGTTTTCCTTTGAAACTCTTCCAAGATGAAATTTACAGTTCTACTTTGAAGCAATATAGGATATTTATACCTTCATTGGCTAACAGAAGGTTTTTATACTTTTATTGTGGTAGATCAACACAGAGAAATGCATAATTTTGAATTGGAGAAAATTGGAAGAATGTTTTTTTTTTTTAAACATAGTGACAAATAAAAACCTGAAAAGTGTGCTGGTTCTTTTTTTATTCAACCTCTTTACTACTTAACTCCTAAATAGAACCCAGTGCAACCAAATTCCTTGCAGACCATGTTTTTTTTTAACAGACATGCAAAAATAGGTTGTAAAAAGCATTAAGAGGACAGAATAATTGTGTGGAAGAAGGACAATGAAACCTTTTCAGCGTCAAGGGAATTTAACCTTACGAACATCCATGGACAGATCACCCCGGTCATAAAACATGGTGGTGGCAGAATAATGCCATAGAGATGTTTTACACTCAGGGAGGTTAGGGCAGCTGGTCAGAGTTGATAAGGAGATTAATAAATATAAATATGTAAGACGCTGAAAAGCAGCAAATAGAATCTTTACTATGTTCTGAATCAGGGAGTGTGGACACACCAGCAAATTAGTTTTTAGATTTCTAAAATCAAGCATTTTCTATCACTTTTACTTTATAATTTTTGCAACTTTTTGCTGGTCCATCACATAAAATCCTAATAAAATACACAATCTGTGGTTGTAACATTAAAACAATGTCAAAACTTGGACATTTGGCATTTTTAGCATTTTACTTTTTATACGTTTATTTAACATAACAAAAATCAGGTCAACTTAGAAACTTAACTTGAAAAAATATACTAGAATAAAAAGGAAATATCAGTATTCAAACTATTTCCTCCATCTGATCTGCTGACCTAGATGAGGAAAACATGTCATCTTTTTAGTATTTTTCTCCTCCCTGAATGACGCTGAACTATACCACAGCAAACACCGGCTCTGTTATCTGCTGATGGAAAGGATGACATTCTGATTATGGAGGCATGAAAAGAAGTTGGAAGTGTGAAAGGAACTTGTTTCAGGTTAGCGGAAATATACCCTACCATGGACAGATTGAAGAGCTTCTATTCTTGTTTAGTGACTCATTTGAGACCAAGAGTGGCTGAAATATTTCCTTGTGAATCTCAGCAGATGCTGGATATTTGGGCCTCTAAAAGCTTATTCACTGGTGTGATATAAGCGTCAACAACAGGCCATGACAGATTGTTGCCACACATTCTGTCTGATCAAGTCAATTTGTTTGGAAATTAAAGGAGTCATCAGCAGGATGACCAAACTAGTTTTTTTTGGATTCTGCTTCCATGTTTGTATATGTTAATGCCATCGCGTGTCGTGCTTAAACAGACCTCATTAGAGTGCTATGTGAACCAAAGCAGTGCAACTGTTTTTTAACAAGCACTTTCCAGAAACAACCTCGGCTGTGAAGAACCTCAGAACTTGGTCTGGTATGACATCACTGCAGGTTTTGTTTCTTCATCTTTAAACTGGTGCTGACATCAGCTCAACAAAGCACATAAATTATGTTTCAAACCAGCAGGAGGTGGAAGATAAGTACTTTTACTACCAAGCTCTAAATATGTTTATTCACTGTGACAAAGGTTTTTTTTTCAAGCCGGAGAAAGCAGAGTGTGTTCCCATTTAAGGTCCCAAATTTGGCCTGAAATCACAAGGAGGCAGAAGAAGAAAATCAACATCTGGATATGAAAACCCATTTTTCATTCATCATGGGGGTGGGTGGGGGTTAAGCGGGTTGTAAAGCCATGATTGGGCAACAATAATACAGAAAAATCGAGCCTGTGTATAAAGAAGCACAAAGGTCCAAGTCAGGCGAGTCTATTTTCACCTCTTGTGGCTCAACAAGACAGATAAACGTAAACACAGGAGGCAGTTTCATATGGAAAATGACCTCAGCTTAAAGAAACATGAGTCAACAACAGAAAAAGTGACATACATCTTTAGGCAGCTCTTTTAAAGGTGTCACAGCGCTGGAAAACTCTGACATACAAGAACTTTAACACACGTACACAAAGTTACATTTGGCACAATGCCTGGGATACATCTCTATATCAACTCAGCTTTCCCTTTTTTTAACAACACCAATCATACATGGCTAGGCTACACCTAAATGCATTTATCCTGGCACTAAATCAAAGTTAAAAAAACAAATATATTTTAGACCAAAAAAAGTCAAAATATGAGAGAGGGTTACATATTAATCAATGACGACCATATTTGCTATTTTCTGTCAAAGCAGATCAGAGAAAAAACACCTTAAGGATACAAAAGGAGTCCTTTGAGCCACCTGAAAGGGAAAAACAGTCATAGAGGTTTTTGTTTTTTTGCAATTTTTTTTCAGAGGGTCAAATTTAATATAAAAAAAGAAAATTATTGAAAGGATTGCCAGAGCCAGCAAAAATTATGATAAATTTATTTGGGGAAAGAAATTAGACTTACCGTAAACCCCACTGTGAGACACCCCAAACCCCTTCATTGCTGAACTATTTAAATGGAGCCATATTAGAAGAAAATGGCAAATGTTTTTTCTATTAGTGTATAAAGGATCTCACTCCTTAAAAATATCTCTTTGGTTCTTTATAGATTCACTTCTTTTACAGTTCGTTTCATTTTTCTTTAAATCAGGGCATGATGTGTTGCTTTTTGATATTTGCAAGCCTACTTCATGCTTCCTGATGGGATCTATTTAAGTGACACCCTGATTGACAACATTAGAGACAAAATCTTTCCAAAGATCATCTGAGTTTTAGTTAGTCCATCAAATCAAAATAAAATATAGAATCTCTGGCTGTAACATGTAAAATAATGTCAGATATTGGATATTTGTCAAGATTAGCATTGTAGAAATGGGCACATTGGGCTTAATGAAACCGAGGTGCTCTTTTGCCCTAGCACTATGAAACAATAGGAGTCTGGGCATAATGAGAGAAGCAACCATGGCCTGATGGTGGAAGATCCAACTCAGGCTATGCTCAGGTTTTTAACAACTCTTGCAGAGTCAGCAGCTGGATCATGTAGGCGGCTGCAGATATTTGAGAGCAAACATAATAAAAGAAAATTACATTTGATTTTACTTTTGATGCAAGTATGAAACATTTGCCAACTTTCCATTTCTTATTAAAGGACCTTCCTAAAATTTATCTCCAAACATTCCCTCTTCATGATAATTAGCTAAAACAGCAACTTCAGATGTTCTTAGCATCAGAGCCAAATAAATGGCAGACTCCATAACAGCATTCTCACTTCCTTTGGAACCTCCATCTATAGAACTAGGCTCTGGGGGTGACTTCTTATAACCAAACTTGATGGAAGAAAACTAAACCCACAGGTGTAAGACCAATGACAATTCATCCCTGTGGTAAATTACAGGAAGAATTGGTTAATTGTGAAGTATATTGTACCTCCCTGAGAAAGAGGGCGGCCAGCTGACATAAAGTTACTGCTCTAAGGCAAAATTTCTGCAGACTGTCGCCTGCCTTCCTCTTCATAGCTAGCTAACATGGACCGATGTCCTCCCTATTGACTATTTGTTCCCTTTGAAACATCATTACTTCGGTTAAACTCAGCTGCTTTGTGTAGCTTTATATTACATGGAAATAAAATACATATGTTGCTTCTCAAGCCAAAACAAAACGAAAAAGAAAAGCAGTTGTAAAAAAATAAAAAATGCTGAAATAAATACAGAAAGGTATTGCATTCACCTAAAAAAAGTTGATCTGTTTTTCTGAATTAACGGAATTAATGAGTCGAATACATATATAAGTTAAAAGTTTTGGAATTAATGAGATAATTTTCTTTTTAAAAAAAATGTAAAAGCGCTGTTATTCTGAACTAACAAACTGGAGAAAAGAAGAAAGCAAGCATATCATGAGTAGCAAAGTCAATAAACTAATAGTGATCACATCTACATAACTAAGAGACGAGAATTTCCCAGTGTCCCAGTTCTTAAAGGAAGCAAAAAGGAATTAAACTCAAACGGGACATGTTGAAGCTTCTCTGACGGAAAAGCATCTTTTGCTTAGAAATCTGCAAAGCCAACAATAACATGAAATCACAGCAGCATCATTAATTTAGAAGAGACCGATTTCTTCTTTTTCTAGGTGAATGCAATACGCTTCTGTATATGAGCCCTCTGAATAAATGCTTTTATAATTGTTATAATCCCACGTCTGACAAGTTATTGTAAACTGTATCTTTCAAGTTTACTTGGAAATAAACCCGCTGCAGCTCCAGATAGTGTCAGTACCACAACAACCCTGAAAAGATGCCTTTTCTATTAGTGACTGGCTACTCATAATTGGAAGTAGTGATGTCAGGAGCTTCAGAGGCTCCTGGATCTGCCGTCTGGGTCTCATTTGGGATTGCACTGGATTGAGGGGAAGGGGGTTTTGGGGCTAATGTTGTCAAACTAGTACCATTGGTTAATTTGGCTGTGGCAGACTGTGAAAAATCCTTGGAAGAAGGCAAAATGTTGGATTCCAGATCATTCGTTGATGAAACCTCCTCTGGTTGGTCTGTAAATGGCTGACTTTTATCCGCTGATTGCTGACCTCTTGATTGGCTGGTAGAGCAGAAGGTGTTGTTGTTATTATTGCTGTTTGTTTGATCAGGTGAAAGAACAGTTGAGGAGGAAACAGTTTCAGATTTAGGAGAAGCAGTTACAGTCCATGATTCCTGGTCAAAGTCTGGTAGCTGGCGAGCTGCTGTAGGAACTAGAGTGATCTGGTCCAACCCAACAGACTCAGCAGCTACGTGGCTGCCTGTCGACAGGCCGTTAAGCTCGTTACAAACTGCTGACTGCCAGTTGTTGGAGCAAAAGACAGCTGGAATCCTGAAAGTTAAAGGGGAGAAATCTGAATTATAATAAAATATTAATTACACCACAATAATATAATTGTTTTCTATGTGAGGCCTTAAGAAATAGTTTTTATTGATTTATATTTTCTGGGATTAATACATGTTCTTCATATGTTCAGTTTTAGCAGCAATTGTGTAATAAAAATGTTTTTTTTCCTAAAATCTCATGCAGCCTAAAATGTGTAGCAGTTTTAGCTGTACAACCTTAACATTTTGATGAGGAATATTTCTTAAGGCTCTAAGTCAAGGAAAACTACCTACAAGTAAGTTTCTGTGAAAACCTGAGAACCTTTAGAAATTAAATAAATAAAAACTTCATTTTACATAACTGTTAATTTAAGTCATTGTTTTTGATATAGCCCTCTGTATTTATTTGTCTATCCTCATCCCCCAATACATCTTCCTACACCTTATTTAATTGATTTTATTTTTCTATTGTATATACTGTGTCTAAACATCCTCTATTTTCTTGTATGTGCAATTTTTCCTGCTACTGGAAATACAATTTCCCGAAGGGAGTAATCCCAAGGGATTAATAAAGTCAAGTCTAAGTCTAAGTCTCTAAGTCTATTTTATAAGCTTGGAGAGATTTTTGGCCTGCCAGAAATAAAGTCTAAAGAAGTTAAAAGTCGTCTAAAACTTTACCACACTACTGCAGCTGACCCGAAATGTAAACAAGATGCAATGGAGTTTCTATTTCAAGTCCCAGGTTTCTAAATATAATAAAGAAGTGTACATTTTTTACTCCTATTATTATTTAAATACAACAGTCATCATTAATATTGCATGATAAAACTGTTATTAGTAATGGTATTTTGCTAACCTGGCGAGCTGGCTTTGAAGCTCCTGAGCATGTTGGTTGCACTGAGCAAAAAAAGCTGCCTGACCGTCTACAAAGTCAGTCAAGCTCCGCATGTGGTTTGTCTGAGGAAAAACATCAACACAACATCTGATACTCCAGTAAGAGAAACACATTCCCATTTATGCTGTCTGCAGGAACTCTGGCTAACATACGTGCGTGTTGCCGATTCCTGCCAGGCTCCGTCTTGTGATTTCTGACTGCCGATCGAAAAGACTCTGACAGATTCTCAGCTCCATCTCAGCCTGCTCACACAAACGCAAATCATTGGTGGGCACCGTGCCCGTCCAGCTCACTTCATCTCTATGACAACATCTAGAAGAGTACTGTGTTGCAGCTAGGGTTGGGAATTGAAAAGATTTTCACGATTCCGATTCCCTTTTCGATTCTATGAAACGATTCGATTCTTTATCGATTCTTTTTTCGATTCCAATTTGGGGGAAAAAGGAGAACAAACAGTTTGATTATCAGCATCAACTTTGTTTACTTAACTATTGCACAATCTTACAAAATCAACAAGATCAAGATGTCCACAGGAAATGTGAAACTGGAGTAACATCCGTGTTTAAATGAAAAATTAATACAAGAACAAACTTAATAACCAACAATGTCTAATAACAAATGATGGGATAATAACCTATTTTAAATAACAAAAAATACTAATTATAAAACAGTAGTAGGGAAAATTAACAGTTATTTTGCAGAAAGATGAGCATATCTGCTTTTTCTGGAAGGATACGGGATATTTCAGGGCTTATGGTGTCTCCAGCCGTGGAGAACACCCTCTCAGATGGGGTGGAGGAAGCCTTGCTTGTATCTTGCTTGTTCCACCACCACAGTGTGCCGCTATCCCTGCAGGGGATGGAGGGCAAGCTTTTATAGAGCTGGATTTCCTGATCTACCCTCTGGGCTAAGGAAAGACGGGGCTTTGATTCACAAAGTGACCGCAGCTCGTTGTCTTCCTCCTAGAATAGTTCTTCCAACTTGCGCAACTTGCGTAAGTTACGTAACTTACGTAAAAACGTGACGTAAGTCGTGCTCGCCAGAGCCGGCGCTCTAGGCTCTGGTGCTGCGGGAATCGAAAAAAGAATCGTTCAGCGAGCTGCCGAACGATGCCATGGAATCGGAAAATACGGAACCGGTTCTGAACAGGAACCGGTTTTCGATTCCCATCCCTAGTTGCAGCTGTTCTTTCAGTATTTTTTTTATTCCTACAAATCAGCTTCTTTTCACTCATTTGATGAAAATCATACAATTGCTAATCTTTCTGCAAAAGAATTCAGACCCAGAGTTTCATGTTTGTCAACATATAACAACAAACTTCAACTTTAATTCTTTATTTTTTATTTCATATGAAAGTTAAGATAAAACAATGTATTGAAGTTAAAGCATGAGTTTTAACCTTTTTTTAATAAAGTTTGAAAAACATTGGCATACATTAGTATTCAACCCTACAAATAAAAACTTTATATTTTACTGGAATTTCTAACCTTGCCAAAGCTTCTACTTTTCATCTATGCCTGACTTTGACTGGACCATTTTAAGACCTGATTAAATTTGAATTTAAACCCTTGTTGGATATTGAAAATATTTCAGCTGTATTTACTCTAACCTATCTCCCCTGCCCCTGTTGAAGAAAATTATCTACACAGCATGATGCTGCCATCACCCTGTTTCACTGCTGATCTGCATTTTGCATATAGAACAAAATCGTTTTTTTTTTTCTCTCTCGTCTAAGCAAAGATAATTCATCGTAAAATGCACAACCTATCTGCTGACTGTTCAACCTGAGCTGTAGGACACTGCAGCACCTCTGCAGTTATAATCCTGTTTAAAACACAAAAAATACAGATAAACACACTAAGATTTAAGGGTTCTAAGTTGACTCTTTGGTTTTGGATTGTTTAATTGATTATGCAACTTAAAGTTTATTACCTAATCTGTCAGACCTGCCAGTGTTTATAGATGTTTGTACCTGAGAGATTTCCTGGGCCCATATCTGTTTGGAGAAAGCAGAACAATTATTATTTCAAAGGCCAAACTGTAGTTTCATTTGTTTTATTTTTCTACAACAAACATCTTACCTTCAGCCATTTAACATGCAGGAAGCTGAACATGTAGGAGACATGAGACAGGTAGTCCTCATCCAGTGGGTTTGAATTCATGTTCTAAATAAAACAAGAAAACAAAGATAGCAGAGACAGAATGGAAATGGGAATGTTACAAAAAAAATGGTTCCTTCTTTTTTTGTATCATAAGCAAAGCCGCCACTCACTCGGGCCTCTCTGTCGGCTTCGTGAGCTTTCCTCAGTCTGGTCTTGGCAATATCCAAATCCAAACGCTTGTTAAGCAGCATCTTCCGCTCACTCTGTTAAAGCGTTTACAATGACAGTGATTCAGAACCTAAACAACCGGACAGAGGGCGTGTATGTGACAGGGCGGTGTAATTCACCTGGATGACTTTGTATTCCCCCTCTGTGAAACTCTTCAGAGGTGTGAGAAAGTGAATATTGGTGCATTCTGCAAACTTCCTCTCAGCTTCTCCCAGCTGCTTCTGGGTCTCTCCGCACCTCAGCAGAGTTGTTCCTGTATGCAAACATAAGGTGGGTACATGAAAGTCTTTCCAACCCTTTTCAAACACCAGTTTTATGTGATGCAAACCTGAGACACAGATAAATCATTTGTGCAACCTTTAATAACACAGTAACGCCCCTATACATAGTACTATGAAGTTGTTTAAATTAACTCCAACCTAATTATATTTACCATTTATTTAAAATGTATCAAATTGATTACAATAGTTATTGAAACCTTGATTTATTCTGAACAGCTTCTTGCATGTTTTTACTGGAATTTCAATTATTTATCTTTGGCAATTCCCTCAGATTCTTGATGGGACGCCAACATGGAGCTCAAGGAAACGTTAATAATGCTTCCAGACAGCAGAAACATGTCAATCTGCCAGAAGTGTTAATAATTGTGGACTTAACTGCATCACCTGCATTGTTGAAATAGAAAGTGTGAACATCTTGTAAAGGAAGACACATAACAGAAAAAAAAGCAGCAGTAACTGGTTGTATGAGCAGAAATGTTTAACTCATTTCCATTTTCAGTCTTCTGGATTTCACCTGACATCAATCATAAGACATCTTGTTAACCTGTGAATGGTTCAACTATCCTCATGGGACGGTCCCCACATTTGGATGCCATTGAACCTTAGGTTGCAGACAGGACAAAAGAAGGTTAAAAGGATCTATCAGTAAAAAATGTTCAGTCAGGAAAACAATATTTAATAAAGTCCCCTGCATGCATGAATAAATGCAGAAAATATGGCAAACAGGGATATGAATCAAACTGCATATTTCCCCTGACTGATAAAAGATAAAATATAAATTGGTGAGAGGAAAGCTCAGAGCCTGACAGCAACACTGATGGAACCAAATGATCACCCTGTTAGTACCAGATTTCACCAAATAGAAATTAGTGAAAATTCCTAAACCCTGTGGAAGAATGTGTTCAGGTCAGATGAAATCAATGCTGAAGAGAAAACCTATCAGAAAAGCATAATTAAAAGAACAGCTTACCAGAATGTAACATGGTGGTGGCGACATCATGCTTTTCTATTTGTTGGTTTTCCACTTCAGAGGACGTTAGACTTTATGACAAGATTGATTAAATTACCAACTATTATAAACTCCATTTAGCTACAAATGTGAAGGTGATTAAGCATCACAGTGAGTCAAAGCATGTCTGAATCCAAAGACTTCTGCAGAAATTCATTTAAGTTTCAGAACTTAGCCAAAACTAAATCTGAGAGTAAAATGTATGAGGTTACCTACAGAAGGCTCTTAGCAACAGATGTCCTTGTACGTAGTCTGGTAGATCCTGAGGACGGACCAAATAAGAAAGAATCCTGACATTGAATTAAAGTCCGTCTCAACTCTATATTATTTTAAGAATTTTTATTGTTATTATAAACCCATAATGAACTTTTAGAAATGCCACACAATTTGCAGCAAAAAATGAAAAACAATTGTAGAAAAAAAATTATATATACATAGAAATTAAGTATGTAGAGTGAACATAAAGTGCAGCGAGTGCCAGTCCAAAAATGGGCTGACTGTCTGTTCATGTTCATTTTTTATTGTATTTGTGACTCTGTTTCTGTGGCAGGGGTTGCTGCAAAATAGTAGAAACAGATGCACAAGCAGACTCACCATAGGGGGTGTTTGATCCAATCTCCAGTCCAGCCTGGGTCATTTGCTCTCCCAGTACCTCGTGTGCACGGGGTCGAGTTGGGGCGCTCCATTCCAGATGCTCGTACAGCCGGTCCTCTAATCGAGCTCCTGTGTGTCAAATGTAAAAAAGAATTAATAAATAAAAGAATAAAAACATACTTTTTAAATCTAAATATGTTATTCTTATATGTCAACTTTCCTTTTGTTCAGTTACAAAAAAAGAATCAATATTCTGAATTGGAGCTAAATACTCTCTGAATATTAGAATTGACATTTTATGAAGCTTTATCCTTATTTCCCCTGGCAGCTCAATGGACCACTTTCCTGACAAAGAGCAGGCTGTATCCACTCATAACTCCATTAGCTGAAGAAATTGAATGCAGGAAAAAAAAAGATATCTATTCATCTTTAAAAACCGATTACAGTCAGAGCAAACAGGCAAATTCAGAAAAGATGGAGGCACTACAGAGTAAACACTGATTTACAGCCCAGCAGGAGGTTTATATAAACTGTTATTATTTTCATGACTAGGTGAGTCGCTTGACTCCGGACTTATTCTTCACAAACAAGTTAATTATATTTATGTGTAAATTTGGAAAGATAGCATATAAATTGTTTTTATAAATGCAAATTTGAAGAAAATGATATCCAGAGGTGAAATGTATTTATGAAAATATGGTTTTTAAAGTAACTCTGCTTTTTTTTCTCATATTTTATAATTTCAGATAAACAATCGTTTTATTTCTCTTTTCAAATTGCATTTTACAGATCACATCCTCTTCACTAATAGGGCAGGCCCCCAAAGAAAGTTTGAAAATATAAAATCCACAAAAAATAAATAAAACCAAATAAGAAATGTTTCTTATTTTTTAAAATAAAATCAAAGAAAACAGAGGTTACACTCAAAAATCTTTTCTTTTTTTTTTTTTAATGGGAAGACATTTAAACATTCCATGTCTGGATTGCATCTATTTTTCTTCAAATTTCTATTTAAAAAATGTGTTTTTTGCATGCAAAAATAACTGAATACAATTATGGGTAGCACTGCTGCCTTGCAGCTAGAAGGTTCTGGGTTCGATTCTGATTCTGTATGATCTGGTGAATTGTAAAGTGCCTTGAGATGACATGTGTTTTGAATTGGCTAAAACAATTAATCGGATTAATTGTGATTAATCAATCTTTGAAATAATCAGCAACAAATTTAGTAATCACTTACTCGTTAACTGGATTATAGAGACTCTAAAACATGCCTTCAGCTGACAGAGTACCCTACTTCGAGCAGTAACTACATTAAGATTGCAAAAAATATATATACAAACATTTTGTATTTAAGATAAAAAAAGATGTTTGTCTGTCAATATGCTCTATCCTCAAGTGGAAAAGTTTTAGTTTCACTTGGTTTAATTTCATAAAAAGTCTTTTTTAAGGAAACTTTGACTCACCTATTATTATGCAATTAATAAAAAAAAATAAAATAAAAAATCAACTAACAACAAACAAATGCAGGGGCTTGGTTCCAGGTACTTAGAGATTTACTTCCATACAGAGAGCCCCATTCTGATCTTCAGCTACCACAGAATACATGTCAGATTAAATAATACTACTTATACTTCAGCGATAGTATGGAGGTGTTACTTTATTGTATCTCTTATACTATATCCTTTGGTTGTGCTGTTCTTTTTACATCTCTTTGCAGGTGATAAAGCAGACTGAAGATGTTTCATCATTTTCTCCCTCTTATCTCCTCTTTCTTTCATCTTTTTCTCCTTTTTTCCTGTTTTTCCTTTCCTGTTCTACTTTCATTGCAGTGTCCATATAATCTGTTAAAGTCCCTGCATTAATTATAATAAAGTCATTTATATGCATTAATCAAGTGGAACATTATGGCGATAGCTGTACTGCTCCACTTGTGAAAGCAAAATCTGTTGGGCTCTCTTTGGCATCAAGACAATTATTTTTATTGCCACATCACCAGACAGGACGCTTTCCAAACAAAATAAAAAATCAACAGATTAATCGATTTGAAAAATAATTATTCGTTTGCAGCCCTAGTATGGAGACAGGAAAGTGGGTTAGAAGAGAGGGGAGAAAAATTCAGCATGGGTTATGCATAGGGGTGTGCAAAATAATCGTGATGATGATGCATCGTGATTCTAATTTTCGTGATCTACTGCATCGATTCTTGATGCCAAGAATCGATTATTAATTTAAAAAAATGAATAAATAAAATTGCATGAATGGTTGGCGAACATCAGCCAAAAACAAGTGTAATCCAACTTCCAGTCCAGTAGATGTCGCTGCAAATGTGTTGACACACGCTGCCTTGTGTCACAAGCATTTCCGGCTGTGGGATACTGCGCCGAGTCATTCAAAAACAAAACATGGAGGAGAAAATATTGCAATGCATCGCAATAATTCAAGTATCGTGATGCATCGTGATAGAATCGCATCGTGGCCTGTGAATCGTGATTCGAATCGAATCGTGACTTCTTTGGCAATACCCACCCCTAGTTATGCACTGTACCTCCAGCTATAGCAGGACCCCGCTCATTTTAATTTCTATTGAACACAGGATTACAATAGGACTTATGATTTTAAAAAATGAAACAAAAACAAACTAAAAAAGGTTCATATTCCAGCAGACATTAGAAAACCCCTGTCAAAACAATAAAAAACAACATCAACTTTATTCTGTGTTTATTTTTATGATTTCAAATAAGACAGCAGGCTTTAAATAGAGAGAACAGCTAAAGGCTCTGAGCCCAGAGGAAAGTCTGGTGAGACCTGACATCCACCTGGGAAGGGCATAAGGTCAGGGAGCTGTTCCAGCACTGCAGGTAATCCGTTTTTCCCCCCCAACAATCCAGAAACTTACTCCATATTTCCATAGGCCAGAGTGAATGTGTTTATGGCTGTTTGTCTCTGTATTGCCCTATGATGGATTTGTGTAGGGAAGTGGGGTACAACTCAAGGGTGTAACTTTGTGATAAAAGTTGGTGGTGATGCTCTAAGGATAGTGGCTGATAGATCTACAGCTACTCAACCCGAACACTTTCAATAGGGTTTGTATTTTCCAAAAATGGGCTCAAACATATATTTGTTGAATGCTTGACTATTGTTGAGAACACAAGAGTACCACAATACATTTGTGGTATTTATAGTTATAGACAGATCCCTGCCTTTAGTGCATTATTTTAAAAAGGGCTCAAAAACATTAATGTATAAAACAAATGACAGGTAACAGTTGATACCAATGCCAACATCAATATATCATGCATCCCTAGTATGGACACAACCTCACTTCCATCAATCCATCCATGCATGGCTTCCCTTCAAGCTGCATCAGTGATTATCCTCCTTCATAAGGAGCAAAATCAAATTTAGAAATTTGTCCCATATGTCATTGACAGCCAAAGTCTATTTATTGAACCTTATATTTCAAAAATCATTCATACACTGGTTTGTATTATTTGTGCTTTAATTAGGTTTCTTCTTTCATTTTAAGTCTCTGAGTCTGGCTGTCTCTGGGTTGCAGCTTTTTCTGAGTCTCGTTGAACTACAAAAAAACTAAATTATATGTTGAATTTTATTATAGCATTTCATATTTTTTCTTGTAAACTTGGAGATATATTTGATTGCATATCTCAGTAAATCTGTTTCACCTTTAAATCTGCAGCTGTCCCTAACTGATGGAGAAGGGCTGCAGACTCACTGCTACCATGCAAGAGGATAGATATTTTATTTGGTCTGGTTTTCAGGTATGTAGTTTGGAATGGGTATGCAAGCAGACAACATATTCTCCTAATAGAAACAATAATTTCTACACCCCAATACTAGAGGATTCATTTAAAGCTGTCTTAAGTTCAAATATTGGACACATCACAGATATGTACAGATGAGTCTGTTATTTTTCTCTCTCTCACCAAGACTGGGTTGAAGTAAAACCTCAGTCTGAGAGATGATCGAGTCCGTCCAAGTCTTGGTGGCATCTGCACGGGCCAGGAGCGTCTCCAGCTCGGGGTCCAGCTCAGTCCTGCCCGTGTGGCCGAGAATCTCTCCGGTGTACTGGAGTAATGTGACAACATTTAAAACAACGCGAAACCCGCATTTATTTAGCAAACAAGCCCATGTTTTGGAAACATTTCTTGCTTGATTTACCTGAACAGCCCTGTTGATGAACTGACCAGCATCCACGGCCAGCCGCGTCAGGTCCATGACGGAGTCCTCAAGGTCAGCCGTGTTCTCCGGGGAGGCAGCAGGACCACGGAGACCCCCGGTTACAAGAAACCAAGAGATGACCGAAAACAACCAGCTGGCTCAAACATCGCCTTCAATGTACCTCACCACGATGTATACCTTTAAATAAAGGTAGGTAAATAAACGACGCTCTGAAAATAAAAATCCACTTACCGCCTTTTAATGTCGGGCTTTTAATTTGAAGGATGCGCTTTTTAAACTATTTTCCAGGATTATTTTAAATAAATGCGTCGAAATGCTGTAATAAGGACATCAGCATGCGCCAAATAGTTAACATTGATTTAAATATAACGAAAGACTTAATTTAATTCAGTGACGTAAAGGATTAAATCACACTTCCGGTTAGTACAATACACAATAAAAGCATAATCCACCATAAATCTTTGCATTCTTCTGTATAAAGTAACACATTGAAACCATATAATAAATTAACAAAACAAAATCCCCCTTCATCATTAACCTCCCTTTTAAGAAATGAAGCAATTATACCCGTAAATAGTTGTTCAATAAGACTAAATTAAAGCTGTCTATCTTAAGGTAAGCTGAAGAAGCAACCATGAGTTAACAAGAAGTAGAAATACCATAATGAAAAATACAGCGACTTTTTGAGTATTTGAATCCATGACAGCACAACAAAAAATGACAGCCTTGTAAAAAAAAAAACCCAACAAATTATTACATGCAATAAAGTCCTTGAAAGGTGGAGCTTGAGCAAGAGAGAATCAAGGATTAGCTCATTATGCTGACAGTCCAAGGAGCACTAGAGGTACTAAGCAGGGTTAAAAGATTAAAAGACAATGGATCACAGTAACCAACCGTAAACTCTTTTATTACAAACAATACAGAGCAGGAAATACAAATGTATAACATCTTTTTGAAAAACTTGAATTTTCATATAACAATATTAACTTTAGAACCCCTTCCCCTCCATATATCAAAAAGGTGCTTAAATAATGAACTTAACATGCATCTTCCCTTTTACAGGTATGGACCCCAACCCAAATACATCTGGCAGAGCAATTTGTCATCAGTGGCTTCCTGGATGAGGTAGTGCACATGTCCCTCTATTGACAGAGGGAGACCAAGTACTTTATTCCGGCTCTTTATCACCCCTTGGAGACGTTGCTCAATTTCACACACGTGTGTTTTGGCCTTGCAGAGAGAGATCGAGTATAAGTCAAATGCTTTAATCACAGAAACAAATCGTTTTTATAGTCTTGTACCTTTTCATTAACTATCTCCCCTGTCTCATTGGCCTGGGTTTTCACAAGCCCTTTGGATGGTTTGCTCCACTCAACCAGCGGGTCATGAAGAAAAGTCTTCAGCACGCTGAAGGTGTAAAATACAACAAATGAATGAGTGATGAAAGCTTTATTTCTAGATGTGATCAGTAAAGAGAAAAAAAGTGTTTAAAACTGTGCCTACCTCATGAGTGGCTCTCTCTGGTCTCTCATCAGTCTCAGTGTGACTTCACAGGCTTGCCTAAACAAGCCCTCCGTACCCATAGGCCCCATAGCATGGACCATGTTTTGGGTTAGTCGGAATGGTACTACCTCTGGAACGTCAAATGTCTCCCCCTAGTGGATAAAACATCATATATAATAAAATTTAAAGGGACGTGCAATGAAAAAAGAAAACACAACGCAAATAGTTTATTGCAGATAATTTCAAGCATTTTACATGTCCCATATTGTTTCACATCACAACAAAAAACTGCCTATTTTATCAGATAGTTGTGCAACAGTTAGGATAGCTCAAGTGGTAAGTCACCCGTCCTGCAAAAAGGAAGGCTGGGTTCATGAGCTGCCAGGTAAGACCCTTCATGCTAATTCCTGCTTTGGGGAGTGGCGTCTAGTGGTTAGGGCATTGCGCTTTGAATCTTGAGGTTCTGAGTTCAAGCCCCACTCCCACGAACTGCCAATCTGGGTCCCTTAACCCACAGCAGTGCAGCAGTGTTGTGAGCCACATTGCTCCAAGGGGTTCGGTTTAATGCAGAGACTTCATTTCGTTGTTCTGTACTTGTGACAGTGTAATGACAAATAATAAATGCTGGAAAAGTATATTTGCAATGCGATGTATACCTGCATCTAATTTTTAATGCTCTTTTTTTTGGCTCAATTCAAGAATTTGCATTCAACCTGTGGGACTAACCTTGTTAAAGAGGCAGTTAAAGTCAACGTGGACACATTCGCCAGTAAAAGAGTCAAAGAGGATATTTTCTCCATGACGATCACCAAGTCCCAAGATGTAGCCGACCATGGACATCACAGCAGTGGAGCGGCAGTACGCAGAGCGACTGCTGTACCTGGATAAAGACACCGAAAAATGAGAACAAGTACAAGTTATAATTTCATCCTCCATATTGGTTTCAGACATCGATTGTCTTCTATTCACATGCTGTAAAAATTGCAGCGTACCAGGATTCAGGGTCGGGAAACGTTCGGAGGAACCACTCATAAAAGACGGGCGGATGCCGGGCACACAGCACCTCCTTGTGGATTCTGAGCTTTTCATCAAAGGGAGCTGTTTTGGGTAAAATCAGCTTCCTCAGCTCTTTACCAGACAGGTGGACACCTGGACAAATACATTAGAATCCTCAATGATTTCAGGCTACAAAACTCTAAGCAATTGAACTTGCACACTTTTCTCAGGTTTTCAAACATTTTTAGATGTTAGAATCCAAAACAAGGCATGATGCAGCCACCACCATGTTTCACAGAGGAGATCGTGTCTATGGTTAGTTTTCTTGAATACAGTTTGCTTTTTAGCCTTTTTAGAGAAGAGCATGTTTGTCTGTGTCTGCTAAAATGCTAATGGAAACAGCAGACCTACACTCTTAAACCAAGAACTTATGGAATTAGATTTTTGTGTCTGAAACCACTGAAAATCACATCTTACAAGTTCATGGCATTTATGCATTGAAAATCAATGGGGATGATCACACCCATTACGATTTTCTGTAAGGGGGCTTGTGTAGAGATGGACCTCAGGTCTATTTTAGTCGGACTAAGCAGCAATTCAATTTCATGGATCTGACAGAAAGAGAGAAGTGATTAAATAATAATAAATAATACAAAATAAAATCTCTGTCTTAAGAGAAAACAGTCAGGTTTGGAGCTGCATACAAAGCAGGCGGGGCAGACTTGGACCGTGTGCAAAGCGGCCGTGATGAGGATCAATGCCCCCAAATCCGAGACCATGATCTTGAGCTGGAAAAGGGTAGAGAGCCTTCTCCGGGTTGTGGAGGATGTACTGCCCCTACTTTAGGAGTTTAAGTATCTTGGGGTCTTGTTCACGAATGAGGGGAAGATGGAGCGGGAGATCGATAGGCGGATTGGTGCGGCGTCTGCTGTGCAGCGTGCCCTGTACCGGTCTGTTGTGGTAAAGAGAGAGCTGGGCCAAAAGGCAAAGCTCTCAATTTACCAGTCAATCTACGTTTCTTCTCTCATCTTTGGTCATCAGCTTTGGGTCATGACTGAAAGAACGAGATCCCAGTTACAAGCAGCCAAAATTAGTTTTCTCAGTAGTGTATCTCGGCTCTCCCTTAGAGATAGAGTGAGGAGCTCAGTCATCCGTAGAGGACTCAGTAGAGCTGCTGCTCCTCCACGTTGGAAGGAGCCAGTTGAGGTGGCTCGGGCCATCTGGTTAGGATGCCTCCTGGACGCCTCCCTAATGATGTATTCCAGAATGCACCAACCGGGAGGAGGCCCAGGGGGAGGACATGCTGGAGGGACTATGTTTCTCAGCTGGCTTGGGAGCGCCTTGGGATTCCCCCTGAGGAGCTGGCCCAAGTGGCTGGGGAGAGGGACGCCAGAGCCTCCCTACTGAAGTTGCTACCCCTGCGACCCGACCCAGGATAAGTGGAAGAAGATGGATGAATGGACTTTACCCAAGATCAGGAGGGAAAACCGATAAAGTAGAGAACCTCATTGAGCCTTGCAAAAACGAGGGGCAGTAGAGGAGAGCGCCGCTTAATGGAGCTTCGGTTTGTAACCGTGCTGGTTGTTTTTTTAAATAACATTTCATAATCTCTTCCAGTGAAATGTGAAAAACCGTTTTAATTTTTGGGGCACAGATAGAAAAGTGAAAATAATATATATATATATATATATATATATATATATACACACACAGATCGGGATCTGCTCACCCTGTGTAGTCGGGTCCCATCTATACACACTGCAGTCAGTGTGACAAAAAAAAAAAACATTGTATCGGAGATAAAAAAATTTGGACGCAACGAGTGTAACCTGGGCTTTCAAACAGCAGGTTTAGTGATAACACTGAGATCAAATTAAGCATAAGGTTTCTACTGACAATGGTGTCTTCTAAATCAAATAAATCTCCACCTAATTTCTTGGATTTAAAACTAAAGAATTTTCCTTCAGCTTCACTATTATTCTATTCAATAATAATTTAGTAATCCCAAAAGGAAATCAAATTATGCTCATCTCTGTACTGATTTAACACATAAAACTCTAATAACTTCCACTGAATTTTTCGGTTTTACAAAGATTGCTTTTAAGCAACAGTCATTTTCCATCCCACCTCGCTCTTTGTACAGTTTGGTGAGGATGTGTCGCAGCCCAGCAGTGTTGTTGACCCACTCGATGATGCCGCACTCCTCGTTGAGTGGAATCACAGCGTAGGTGCGGATGTGGAGCTCCCTTCGCCTCGACTCTGCATCTTTACGAAGGCACTACACACAGAGTGAACAGAGATGACGGGAGGATTGTTACATCTTAGCACGTTGCTAGAGACAGCGCCTATATTTCAGACACACACCTTGTTGATGAGACAGTTAAACTCCATCAGCCTGCAGTCTTTTCTTAGATCGTCTTTAGGTTTACACATCATGGTGTAACTCTGGCCATCGGAGCCCTTCAGACTGATCTTCTTAGGCTTCTGCAGGGAGGCCAAAATCTCCACCTGGCATCAACAAACCCAACTTTAAACACATTTAAGGTGCAACCAGCTCTTCTCCTGCGTACATTAATACACAGCTTCTATATTTATTAGACAGATGGATACAAATGTTTTTTCTAAAGTTGTCCAGACCTGAAATTTTTTTTTTCAATAAAGATTTCACCCCCACCCCCTCCTCCCACACACACACCACACACTTACAGCGTCTTCAAAGCCGTCCAGGTAGGCCCAGTGTCCGGGGAAGGCGTCATGCTGTGTGTTCGCCCCGCCAGTAGAGGGCAGTGTCGGGATGAGGACGGACTGCAGCGGGATGAGGATCTGACTGAAGCTTGGCTCCTCTACCAGACGTTTCAGCAGCTTGAAGTGAATGCTCATGCTAAGGGTGGTGCTGTTACCGTCCACCTGGAAAAAAAAAGAAAAAAAGACATTCCTCTCTAAAATTTCAATTAGAGACTGACACAGGAGTGGATTTTCACTCCTGTCCCGTCCCACTCCCACAGAAAAAAATTGTGTCCCGTCCCGATCCCGGGCCAGAGTAGAAATCTAAATCCTGTCCGTCCCACTCCTGGTGAAATTACTCCCACTCCCATCCCGCTCCCATTAAGAATGACTCCCGCACCACTCCCATTCTCTGTCGAAAACCTAGGACGCGTCCTTAGGAGGCCAGATTCGAAGTACGATTACGTCATAGTGCGGCGCTGAGGCCTGGTTGGGTTCCAAGACTCCTCGTTATGCGGCCTTAAAATGCGTCCTTCTTTTAGCCCGATTTGAAGGACGGGTGTCGATGTATCATCGGTATCCTTGGTTTACCCAGGATTCATTGGGAGACCAAGCAAGCCGTGATCAGAGGAAAGGTTACTTGGCGCCGAACCGTGGTGAAAATTGGAAGTTCAGTTTAATATAATCCAGTCTGTGAATAGTTCTGTCTGAAATGAATGAAAATAGTTGTTTTAATGGTTATTGAGTCAGATATGTGGCGGTAATGTTTGATTTATCTAAAGGTTTTTATCTGTTACTGTGTAAATGGGTTTGGCTGTAATTTAAGGACAGATTCTAATATATCTGCAGAGAGGGGACTATAAATCTGATAGGAGTTTTATTTTTTTATTGCTGTTTTGCACAATATGCTTAACTAAGATTTTTTTCTTGTTTAATATTAGAGACTTTGCAGATATGTTTTTAATACATACATTGTTTAGATTTACTTATATCTTTCTACCCCTTTTATAGAATAGAATAGAAAATCCCTTTATTGTCCCACAATGGGCAAATTTACAGCAGCAGAAAGATTATTGAAAATGGTCACACAAATGTGGACCTTAGAAAAATGTATAAGAATAACATAATAGGGAAGAGTAAAAAAAAAAAAATACAATTCTGTAAAGTGTTTTAACAATATAAAACTGGAGAATAATTAACCAATATGCAGCTATGGACATTTTTACAGTAATGGATATTTGAAAATAGCAGCAACATCAGAGATGTGCAGAATGACAGCAGCAGGTTATTTAACTGACTAAGGTTTCTATCATTACATTTGATTTGATTTGTTCCTGCTCCCGGTGGTTGGAACCTTTATACCACTCTGGATTCTCATCAGTCTTTGTTCACTTTACAATAAAAAATAAATAAATAAACAAACAGTTTTGGAAACTTCGGTTTTCATTCTTTTCCTGCTTTGTGTGTCAACTTTCGCGGTTGCTAAGCAACAGACCTTACGGCAATAAAACCCGCTGAAGGGTAGACCTGGTCGAATTCACAGCCCAAACTCTTCCGGTCTCCTTGTTTTCACGGACTTCAAAGGATCCAGTCTAAGTAGACCGCGTCCTTGGAGGATGCAGCCCAGGTTTTCGAACAGAGCCCCATTGTTGTTGTTTTTGGGCGCGGGTGAAAAACTCAGAGCGGAATCACTGTTGGTTTTTGGGTCGTGTAGTTTTTTTGACTCGCATTATAGTGTAGGCTTAAAGAAAAAAAACTACAAAATGGCGCCGCCGCGCCAGTACTGGATTTTTTTTTCTTTCCATTTCATTTTATTTTTTGGCATTGATCCTAGTTTTTTTTTTAGTCATATTGGTTTGCTCCCGCTCCCGTCTGCTCCCGTTAATGTTTAATCCTGTACCGTCCCAATCACGTGATCGTTACTAATACTGACTCCCATCCCACGGGAATCCCTTGACCCATGGGATTCCCGAAAAAATGTCAGTCCTAATTTCAATACATCACACACTGTCTTAGCAAAATTACTACATTTATTTCCCTCCTTTTAAATAAAGGTTTCAACCAAATCCAATCTTCTGATGACTTTCACATCCAATAAACATTCTCTCCATCTTACACTAAAATCTAACGATATATAAACTCAAATTTCAATTGTGCATCATCCCCCCCCCCTATTTTTGTGCATTTTTACCGGCTTGTTGCAGAGCTCAAGCAGCTTGTCGGTGAGTCTGTTAGCATCTCCGATAAATTTCTCCAGGGACTCTTTCAGACTGATGGCTTTCTTAAGGATCTGATTGCAGCGGTTCATGCGCATTGGGTAAGAAGACTGAAAAACAAACAGCACACACGGGACATTTATTAGAGCAGGTAACTTAATAAAACTGCAGATGCTCGCTAACAGCTGTTCAAATTAAAACTAATCAGACTCAAAGGTGTCTATAAAATGTGTGGATATGTTATAAGACAGTGAACGTTGAGTGCAACAGAAGAAAGAAAATATAAATGACTTCAACAGGTAAATGACAGGTATTGGGGAAAAAAGTAATGTTTTTCCACAAACATTATGCTCAAGTTTTATGGTAGCATTTTGCACCGAGTCAAACTTTCCAGAGAAAGATCAGATGAAATGTTGATTATTGCAAAGGGAGAAGTGCAGTTTAACCTTCATAAAGGATCTCCTCTGTACTGTGTTCAAGTATTAATGCAAATAACAAAAGCTAAAATAACTTCTTAGCTGAGAGGAAGGTGTTAGCAAAGAAAGGGCTGCTTAGTTATTAATTAGAAAAACAGAATGGTAGCTTTGGAGAAAGCAGTATTTTGTTTGGCTACCTTAAAGGAAAACCACAGAATCATTACTGATTTGGCTTTGACAAACAAGAATACTATTGCAACTAAGACTATATCTGAAAGATGCAATCCTTAAGAATTAAGGTTTACCTCTTGGATGAAGCAACAAGCGAGGAAGGGAATAAGGAAGTATACAGGTAGAGAAGAAAAAAAAGGAACCAGATAAGAAGGGGAAGAAAGGAGGATACAAGAAATAAAGGAACAACAAAATATAATCTCAAATGAGACAAGGCTTGAAGTAAGGTAAGTCAGACACAAGAAAAGAAAGGAAGGTAGGACATAGGGAAGGATGGAAAGAAAAAGTTACATAGTGATAAAGATGTAGGAAAACAAGGAAGGAATAAATATATAAGGAATAGAGGAACAGAAATTAATATATAAATAAGGAGGGACAATATAGGAGAAAGGACTGAGAAGGAAATAGAAAAAGAAAGGAAGATGATTATTTATACAGGAGTAGGGAATAAAATGTGGATAAACAGATATTTTTCCAGAATATTTTCTTGTCAGATCAAATTCGAGTCTTCTCCAGATTGTACCTTTATTGATAGTGGAGATGCTATTATCACAAAGCCAAAAGATATTGCTAACCATTTAAATGACTATTTTAGTAGTAAAGTGGACAATTTGAAAAAATTAAGAACAAATAAAACAGACAGGTTAGAAGTAAATAATTTGAAAGAATTTATGAAAAACAAGCCCTGTAGTTTTGAATTTTCTAATTTGAATGTAGAAATAATAAAAAAAATAATTAAAGTTGTATGTAAAGACAAGCAACCAGGCATCAATAATATAGATGAGAAATTAATCTGCCTAGCAGCGGATTATATTGCTGATCCAATTTGTCATATTCTGAACATCAGTTTAAAAACGGCTATTTTTCCACAGGCCTGGAAAGAGGCTAAGATTATACCTTTGCCTAAAAAAGCTGTTTTGTGGTCCTAACAGTCGGCCAGTAAGCTTGTTACCAGCTTTAAGTAAGATCTTTGAAAAAGCAATTTTTGACCAAATACAATCTTACATCTAAAATAATCATTTAACAAATTTCTAGCATGCCTATACAAAAGGATACTCCACAGGTACAGCATTAACCCAAATGACCAATGATTGGTACACCATCAAAAGATATGTGGAGTAGTCCTATTAGACTTTTCAGCCGCATTCGATGTGATTGATCATACACTGCTTCTTGAAAAACTTATGCTGTATGGTTTTAAACCATCGGAATCATTTATCAGATAGGTCACAGAGTGTGTATATAAATTATAGTTTTTCAAAGAGGGTGTCAGTAAACTGTGGTATTCCACAGGGCAGTTGCCTTAGGCCAATTTTATATGCCATCTTTACAAATGATCTACCATTAGTATTAAAATATGCTAAATTAACAATGTACACTATATTGCCAAAAGTATTTGCTCACCTGCCTTGACTCACATATGAGCTTAAGTGACATCCCGTTCCTAATCCATAGGGTTCAATATGACGTCGGTCCACCCTTTGCAGCTAGAACAGCTTCAACTCTTCTGGGAAGGCTGTCCACAAGGTTTAGGAGTGTGTTTATGGGAATTTTTGACCATTCTTCCAGAAGCGCATTTGTGAGGTCGCACACTGATGTTGGACGAGAAGGCCTGGCTCTCAGTCTCCGCTCTAATTCATCCCAAAGGTGTTCTATCGGGTTGAGGTCAGGACTCTGTGCAGGCCAGTCAAGTTCATCCACACCAGACTCTGTCATCCATGTCTTTATGGACCTTGCTTTGTGCACTGGTGCACAGTCATGTTGGAAGAGGAAGGGGCCAGCTCCAAACTGTTCCCACAAAGTTGGGAGCATGGAATTGTCCAAAATGTCTTGGTATGCTGAAGCATTCAGAGTTCCTTTCACTGGAACTAAGGGGCCAAGCCCAGCTCCTGAAAAACAACCCCACACCATAATCCCCCCTCCACCAAACTTTACACTTGGCACAATGCAGTCAGACAAGTACCGTTCTCCTGGCAACCGCCAAACCCAGACCCGTCCATCAGATTGCCAGATGGAGAAGCGCGATTCGTCACTCCAGAGAACGCGTCTCCACTGCTCTAGAGTCCAGTGGCGGCGTGCTTTACACCACCGCATCCGACGCTTTGTATTGCACTTGGTGATGTATGGCTTGGATGCAGCTGCTCGACCATGGAAACCCATTCCATGAAGCTCTCTGCGCACTGTTCTTGAGCTAATCTGAAGGCCACATGAAGTTTGGAGGTCTGTAGTGATTGACTCTGCAGAAAGTTGGCGACCTCTTCGCACTATGCGCGTCAGCATCCGCTGACCCCGCTCCGTCAGTTTACGTGGCCTACCACTTCGTGGCTGAGTTGCTGTTGTTCCCAAACACTTCCATTTTCTTATAATACAGCTGACAGTTGACTGTGGAATATTTAGGAGCGAGGAAATTTCACGACTGGATTTGTTGCACAGGTGGCATCCTATCACAGTTCCACGCTGGAATTCACTGAGCTCCTGAGAGCGACCCATTCTTTCACAAATGTTTGTAAAAACAGTCTGCATGCCTAGGTGCTTGAATTTATACACCTGTGGCCATGGAAGTGATTGGAACACCTGATTCCAATAATTTGGATGGGTGAGCAAATACTTTTGGCAATATAGTGTATGCAGATGACACAACTGTCTATGCATCTGCAAAATCAATATCTGAATTAACTTCCATTTTAAATAAGGACTTAAAAATTGTAGAGCAATGGGTTTTAGATTATAAATTAGTGTTGAACATCTCAAAGACAAAAACTTTAGTACTTGGTTCAAACAAGTCTCTTAAACATGACCCAAAGTTTAATTTGTCAATAAATAACACACTCATTGATTAAGTAACAGAAGATAAGCTTCTTGGTGTCTATTGGGATAATAAACTGTCTTGGTCAAGACACACTGAAGCTGTTGTAAAGAACATGGGCAGAGCTTTAGCTATATTGAGAAGATGTAGCAAATTTTTGCCAGCTGATTTGACTACCGGTAAGTTTATAGTAAGAACATAAATAATTTCTCAACTTGACTACTGTCAAACAATATGGTCAAATGCAAAAAGAAAAGATTTAGAGAAACTTCAAGTAATGCAGAATAAAGCTGCCCATGTAGCATTCAATTGTTCTTACAGGACCAGTATAAATACCATGCATTCAAATCTAAGCTGGCTAAAGGTTCATGACAGGGCACTAGCTTCGCTAATATTCTCAACGTGGAAAATCTTAAAACTCCAGAGTCCACTGTTTCTGTTTGTTCAATTTAAGAATAATTTGGACTCTCATGGTTATGCCACGAGGCATGCAGCTGAAGGACCATTTGTAATTTCTAGGGCGAAAACAAATTTTCTCAAATGCACCTTTATTTACAGAGCAATAAAAGAATGGAACTTGCCATTAATTCTCATAAAAATTGTACATAAATCTGCTTTTAAAATGCAACTTAAGAAGTTTTTAGAAGCAACTTATCTATAAATGAAATAGTTTCATATTCTAATTTATTGTAACTTATTCATAAAATGTTAACATTTTAAATTGTAACTTTCCCCTTTTCTATGAATGTTCAGTCTTATTGATATGTATATGATATTTGTCATCTGTCAAACATGTTTATGAATTTACATTGTATACTGTATTTTAATGATGTGGACCCCAGGAAGAGTAGCTGGGTGTAACGCACAGCAAAAGGGGATCCTAATAATAAATAAACAAATAAACAAGTAGGAGTCATAAGGATCATGATGCTAGAAGATGCTGTAGGCTTTATTGTTAATAATTATGCTTATTTTCTATTTTAACACACTTTTAAAGCTCAAAAATGACCCACTACTCTACTTTAGTATATCAATTAAAACAAGGAACCCTTTGTGTCTCAAATAGTATCTGGAGTAACATGAATGTTTGCTAAAAAGAAGTTAAGCAGATTTGAAAGTCTAAAATAATGTAGTGACTGTGGAGGAAACCAACCTTGGAGACAGCCGTCATCAGCCACATGGCCTGTTGGGGGTACGCCAGGAACACTTTGGCCACGATCTTCATGAGCACCTTGAAGACATCATCGCTGGAGTGACACACCCTGGAGATGAGCTGGGAGAAGGCAGTGAGGAACTGGTAGGGAGCCAAGTTAGAGCAATGCTCTTCCACCACAGTGTTGATCTTCCCAAGCTCCTGTCGCATTGCGCGGTCTGTTCGTCCAGCTGTGGGGGAAAGATGTGAACGTAGTGATCCACTACTGGCAGGACTGTTCTGTGTTTCAGTTGCCCTGGCAGCTCACCTTTCTCACAATCGCACACTTTTGCTCCAAAATCCAACCAGAGGGAGAGCATGCGAGGCATGGCCTGATAGATGTACTGGTTCCCAAACTGCAGGGCTCTGACAGACAAACCATGTTAAAACCATCTTAGGATGCTTAAAAGAAACACAGAATACAAGAACCTACTTTCCAAAGAATGTGACGATGTATCGGATCAGGTTCCCCTGCTTCTCCAGCTTGTTATCCGTCACCATTGGCATCACTTTGTCATAATACTTAGCGAGGTAGAAGTTCCCATCCTCCCACTCTGGGAGAAGGTTGGTCACATCCTACAGAGCAAGAGAAATAACTACTAGTAAATAAGAGTTTCAGAGGAAAAAACTCCACAAGATTTAATGCGTTAATGAAAAAAAAATATCTGTTTGCTGAGAAATCATAACACCCTGGTGGGTCTCTGTAATTAAAAGGTTTGAAAGCGGATCAAACCTTGTAAGCCTTCATGATTGCATTGGACTCAAAGTTCGCTGTCTCCTCCATGAAGCGGCCAACTAGCAGCATGGCCTTCCCTTTAATCTGCAGGTTGTGAGGGTCAGTCAGCAGCTGATCGTCTGGGAAACACTGAGCCACGCCCTTTTGGAGGACAATCAGGGCCTGGTGCACGTCGCCCTGATTACAGTGAAATAGGTTTTATAGATGGAGATTTTTCCTCCAGAAGTGCAAGTTTTTAAATGTTTCTAGTTTAACAAACTGCAATTACAAGTAGTTAGCAGTAGTTTCTTTTTTTGCATGAAGCCTTAAGATCTTCTGCTTGTTGTATTCACAGGTTGCTGATACCTTGGACCACAGCCACTTGGCTTTCTCCGTCACCAGTTCAGCCAGGTTTGTGTCGTCTGCGTTGAGCAGAGCATTGAAGGCCGTCTGGTGGTGTCCCGCCTTCCTGGCGACCCGGGCGCTCTGCAGCCAGCACTCTCCAACCAGCCCCTGACATGCAGGTCTGCAGACCAAAACCCAAGCGGTCAAACCTCACACAGTCAATAATCTACCACAGTGATCCAAATCATGTAAGGATGAGCCACTGCATCAATTTGCAAACATGGTGGGGGCAGTGCCATGGTCTGTGGCATTTTTCTGCCATTAGAACAAATCTTCTAATCAAACTGGGTTAAATTGGTATCCTACTGACTTTGTCCTTTGATGTGTTTTCATCTGAAATTCCATCAAAGATGAATTTTAAGGGAAAATAATCCATTCCAACATTAGAATTCTGGCCCAAGCTTCCCAAATTAAAATATAAAATAACTCACGTCACACTAACCATTTTTTAGGCAAATATTTGATATAAATTATGCCAAATCCTTGTTAACAGCAAGTTCCCTTCTAGCTGGAAAAGGGAGACTCATCCAGATATATCTGTGGTTTTCTTTGAGCAAGTTTAATTCATTGAACTGAAAACCAAAATGTGTAAAACGAGTTGGCCTTTCCATTCCACAAATGGAAAAAATAATTTAAATGGGTGGTATTTTAGGATTCCTACACATTTTATTACTAATTTACTCATATTTCAAATATTTTTTTTTAAATGCAATTTTCTGTTCCTCAGCATTTAAGTTTGAAACTTTTATTCTGTTACAGAATTAAACAGTTATCTGTGGATTCAACAATAAAGACCAAGCAGAAAGTGTGTCTCTGTTTTTTGCCCCTGCTGATTAAAATGTTTTCAGATTTTAATCAGCTTTAACTGTTGGTGGTCAAATAATTAAAGCATCTTGGACTAAGAGTGGATTCTTTATAGAGCGGTTTGTGAACTGAAGATGTTTTAGTGTTTTACATTCAGTTTAAGAAGAGGATTTTCAGTTTGATTTGGATTTAGACTGGAATTTTTCCCACTGTTGAAAATGTCAACGTGTAAAAAAGAAATAGATATGAAGAGCAATATTTGAGGTGGTAAATCAAAAAGAAACCATCTATATTGAAGGTGAATTGATGTACGTTGACTAATTTATTATGCATTATTAGAATATGTTTAAAATAATCTGTAAAATAAAAAAAAATGTATAAATCCATTGGCATATTATTTTGAAGCTGTATAGTAATAAAACAATTTCTGGTAGAAATACATAAAAACACTGAAACTATTTTTGCTTTAAGTACACTTTTTAAATTAACTATCTTTATTTTGGGTAACACAGAATCTTTGCCTGACAGCACAAAATATGCTTTTGAAATTCTGATTACAGCCTGCAAAAAAAAAAAATAACAGTCACCATGCACTGGCTCCTCCTTTATTGTTTTATCATTACTTCAACAAAAAAACAAAGGAATGTTGGAATATTCTGTAATTGTGATCTTGCATTTCCTGTAACTTTCTCAATGTTTCAAAAATAAAGAATTTGAGAAAAATAACTGGGTGGGCGAGACATTAAATGGAATGTTTTGATTTTTTTTTCTTAACCCAGTAAAGGATTTGACTTCTCCTTAAAAAAGCCAGAAAAGATTTCATGTGTTTTTAAAGACTGTTTTTTTTATTGTATGTTAAAGCTCTTTGTCTTTTTAAAAAGAAAAGCAATTGTAGATCCTTACTGAGGTCTGAGGCTGAGCAGGGCACGCCGCAGGGCCAGGATCGGCTCCTTGGCCCTGAAGGAGTTCTGAGTCATCTCCAGTCGATTTGACCAATGAGGAGGCAGCTTGGTGAGGCTAGGGGCGGAGCCGTCTCCTGTTTTCTGCAGCTCAGTGAAAGCGTGCTCCAGCTCACTGAGCATGTGGAGCCTAAACACACCGTTAGATGCATGTCAGACTCACAGCTTTATTAAAGGGGAACCATTTTTTTTTTTTTTACATTGGCCTCTTGATTTTACATTATTACATCATGATCGACTATATTAGTTTTGTGTCATTTGGAGCTGTTCCAAAGATATTCGGTTTTTGTTATATCCAAGTAACGTTTTCCTTTGGGCAATGAGTTGAAGGCACAAACTAAACTGTTCATAATTTATTCTTTATGGTACGCCACCATTCATAACATGTAGGTGAATTACTGTCCCCTACGCATCCGCGGTTATATTTTTTATATTTACATTTTTTTTAAACAAAGTGGAGTGTGTGTGACGTCATCTGCGCACCAGACTGGAGTTGTGAGAGGCAGCCCAGCCCACAGGCGGCGACGCTCTACCCCTTCTATTCATTCTAGCTAATCTGAATCGTTCAATTCCATTTGGAGAGCGAGATCGTCTGTGGTAGTAGCAATAGACATCTTCCAGGCATGTGAGTAAAACTAGCAGCAGTTCAGCGGACAGGAAGAATGAACGGTAGCTGGCGCGCGCGGATAAACACTCCGCTTTGTTTTAAAAAATATATAAATATAAAAAATATAACCGCGGACATCAGGGGGACAGCGATTCGCCTACATGTTATAAATGCTGGCGTACCATAAAGAACAAATTATGCACAGTTTAGTTTGTGCCTTTAACTCGTTGCCCATAGGAAGACTAGGAAGACGTTACTTGGATATAACAAAACTGAATATCTTCGGAACAGCTCCAAATTACAAAAGTCTAATATGGGTGAGTAGAACATGATGTAATAATGTAAAATCAAGGGCCCAATGTAAAAAAAACAAAACAGTGTTCCCCTTTAAGAGTGGGAAGAAAACAGTTGAAGCTGCAGACCTGACGATGTACTCGTATCCCCTCTGGTAGGTTCCACACTCGTAACTGGCTGCTGACAGAGGGACGACCTGCTCTTTCCTCACCAGTTTCAGCTTTTCATAGAAACTCTCTGCATCCTGCTTATTTGCTGACAGCAGCAACTGTCCGAGCCGCACGCCCCAGGTACACGACTGCTGGTCTGGACAGTTAGCTTCTGTTACAAGCAGATTTTTTTCCAATGCAGTAAGAGGAATCATACTTTTTTCCTTTTTTACCTGTAGTTAAATAATCTTCTAACAAGTCCCATTTCCCAAGCTTCCAGGCAGCCTCCACTCTGTAGGTGTTCAGCTCTGATTTCCACTGCTGCCTAAATGTGGGAAACATTTGGAACCTAAACAAAAAGGCAGCAACCAGGAGAGCAGGACATACGTCAGCGCAAGTATGGGTCTTACTTATTGGCCAGTACGCCGTTGACCTGGGTGATGACTGTGGACAGCTGTCCCAGTCCAAGCATGGAGGTCATCACTCCATGATAGTGACCAATCTAGAAAAGGAACAATTAAAACCTGTTGTGGTCAAACCAGCTCACACAGAACCTTTAAAAAATATCATTACCCTTCAAACCTATTTTGCCTCATAACAACCACAAACAAGTTCATTGGAGTTTTTTATTTTTAAACAAACAAAAAGGGAAGCATAATGATGGAAAAGTTAGTGGTTGTAAGTTAAATCTCAGCAGGGTAGAAACCTGGTCTGACTCCAGCTGTATGGCCCGGTCGTAGCAAGCCGTGGCATCTCGCAGTAAACCGATGCTCTCATGTTCAAGGATCTGTTCTCTCAGTGATGGCTCCTCCCTCCTTAGAGCGTTGACCCCCCTCACTCCGTCAGGCTCATGCATCGCCGCATACAGCGTCTAGAACATTTCAGGGATTTATAAGGATGCAGAGAGCGGCACTGGGGCGTGTGTCTGACTAACTGTGTCAGTCTTACCTGCAGGAAGCTGAGGTGGTCTTGGATCTTCTCATTGTTTTCCATTATGTAAGCTTCAAAGTGCATGAGCGCCCGGGTGTACGCTCTAGATCGCAGGGAGGCTTTGGCCAGTACGTCCTGGGGAATACCCTTCAGGAAGGTCACCACACGCTGATAATCACCACTTTCTGCTGCGGGAAAGTTCAGATTTGATCATAAAGATGGTCACATTTAGTAGATTATGGATGTGTGAAGTGATCGGGAAATACCATTGACTTTGGGTTTGGCATAAAGGATGTGGCGGCTCCACTGTGTGAGGTGTGACAGCATGCTAAACACGGTCTGAGTGCTGAGCTGCGATAAGCTAGAGGCCGTCTCCTGTACGCTGCCCTCTCCCCGGCCGTCTCCTTCAGTCAGCACAGCCAGCATCTCCTCCGTCACCTTTAAAGCAAAACAACCAGACATGAGCGGAAGAACTCCAAGTCAAGCTCCATCAAGCCATCTGAGAGGAGAGATTCTGACCTCCAGCTGCTCTGCAGGGGTGCTGCTCTGCAGCATGTAGAGCAGAATATGAGGCAGCAGGTAGATGGTGACTTTGTAGTCGTGTTTGATGATGAAGCTGCAGCATTTGAACACTTTGCTGGCCAGCTCATGTCTCACCTGGATGGAGAAACAAGCACTAAGGCTTTAAAAGTACAAGCGGTTTAAGAGGGAGGGGCCCTCTTGCCCTATAGGGGACATGGGCTAACCTTGCTGATGAGGTATCCAGCCCAGGTGGCAGACCAGTCAGAGAACCTGCTGCCTCTGTTGCTAAGATACACAGGCTTCTTCAGTTTAGACCAGTTGACCTCCTTCTGACTGCTCTTGTATCTGCAAGAAAGAATGAGGAAAGGTGTCAGAATGGGTGAAAAATTGAGGTAATAAAACATTACAACAAACATCTTCCATAGGATGAAGTTTGTTGAACAGAAGACTTCCACCTGCTGTTGAGATGAGGCTCCAGGATTTCTTGGATCTGTTCTGGGAACCTCCTCCACAAACGTCGTCCCGGAGAGTCTGTTTTCCCCTCACGACACTCGAAAATAGACAGTAGCTCCTACAGCCAAGATAAATCCAATTAGATTAGATTATCCAATTAGAAAGTTTAAACGATACAAAAACTAAACAGCTGTAAGGATCATGTGTTAGTTTTGCATACCTGGATGGCATAAGCAGCCGAGTCCTGAGCTCGCACGTTATCAGCGTAGGCCAGAAATGTTCTGATGAGCTCAGTCAGCAAATCGTGGGCGAAGTTGGGATCATCAACCCCGCTCTGCTGACAAAAATGAAAAAGAAAAGAAATTAGAGAGATTTTAAATCTAAAGTTAGAGGAACAACAAGGATTAAAAAAGTATTTAAAAGAAAAAACACTGTTGCTTTACGGCATATCTGCATTTAATTTCAGTTACAAGAGTAAGAGCTTCAGTGGATGATAAGAAGGCTAAAGAACTGCTTTAGCATTTTTAGCTTTTAACCTCTCTCATAGGGTTGTCACGAAACTAAGATTTCAAATTCAATTTTGATTCTCAGGAAAATATTTGATCCTGGATACCACTTTTGATACCATGGGTATAAAAAAATGCTAAATAATTAAATGCATTAAACCATATTTATTAACATTACAAACATGCCTTTATCAATCTCAACAGAATCAGATGATATTAGTTAAATAAGTGTACAAATAAATTGGAAATAAATAATCCAGTTATAACACAATTTGACAATATTTTTAGGTTATTTGACGTATTATTCTTTTAATGTGGAAATAGTCTAGAGATCTAAAAATAACAACAGCAATAATATGCAAATAACACTTGTATTTAGAATTGATACCAAGTCAAGTCAAATTGGTATATAATCTTGATTCAGCGTCTGAGCATCGATACTGTGGACAAACTCTACTTTATCAGGAAGAAATAATTCACACATATAGATGTTTTACATTAAGAAATCGGATTTATTGTGATTAATCGATTATTGAAATAATCGTCAACTAATTTAGTAATTGATGAAATGTTAACTGGAGTATAGAGACTCTAAAACAGGCTTTTAGCTGACAGAATGACCCACTTAGAGCAGTAATTATATCAAAATTGTAAAAAAAAAAAAAAAAAAAAAAAAAATTTATATATATATTTATATATATATATATATATATATATATATATATATATATATATATATATATATATATATAAATATTTTGTATTTAAGATTTTAAAAAACGGTTTTGTCCATCAATATGCTCTATCCAGAATTCCTCAACTGTTTTGGTTTCACCTGGTTTAATTCTGTAAAAAAACTTCCTTAAGGAACCTTTTCTTTTCCGATTATTAATCAAAAAAATTATCAACAAATTTAGCAAAACAATCCTTAGTTTCAGCCCTAGTGAAATGCTTCTTTCATGAAAACAAAATGCATAGTAATATTTTAATGTCAGACATTATTTCAAGTAGAAAGCTAAAGACAAGATTAACTGTGGCTAGAATAGAAGCGAAACAGAACGTAGGATCCTGCATCTACGGTTTCATAACACGGTAACAAAGATATTAAGAGTTGAAGTTTAACTTGCCACAAAGGTATTACGGTCGCCGTGGTTGCGTGCGTGAGACAGATCCAGACGTCCGGGGTCTATGGCCCCCAGCTCGCCCAGACACTCCCCACAGAGAAGCCTGGCCTCAGGGGATGAGTCCTGGCAGCCTTTGAGCAGCACTGACACCAGGCTGGAGATGACAGGCTCCACCGCCTCGCTGGCACAAACCTGCCGCAGAAGCCACTCCTGCAACACAAAACAGGACGTTTTTACCTCTGCTTTTACTGCATTCATATTGTAGGAGCCATAATGATAGGTGTGCATGTGTATGTATCACGTGGGCATAGTTGATGTGGTGACACATGTGGTGACAGCTGATTGCTTAATTGGTTGCGTTTACCTGCACTCCGGGGGAGAGAGGGGAACGGGGTAGCAATTTCTTGTTAACTGTTTGCTTTATGATTTAAATCAGTATGTCACATCATGTATGTTACAATATGTTGTGACTATATAAGCCACCAGGACAGGATTAAAACACCAAAAGCTTATTCCTGGATTCCATGTGGATTTCTGATCAAGACGGCAGTGCGTCATACACCTACAGGACCCTATCACCACCTCTCAAGTGACAAGGATTGCTATGGAGTATAAATCCCAAAAATTTTGAAAGGATTATCTGGTTTGAGCTGCTGTTTCTGTGGTCATGTTCTGTTGTTTCTGGACCTGCTTGTTGTGCATCATGTCCCTGAGGCTGGTCAGAGCATGGATCCTCACGTCCACGTTCTCATGCTGAACGGCTCTCATCGACAGCTGTAGAGCCGAGGCGAGGTCGCTGCTGCTGGCAGTCAGCTGAACGGAACCAAAGCAAATTCTGTTTATTTGGTTTTTCTTCCTTCATGCATTTTAAGAATATCTCATTATGCTTCATACAAAACCTTTTTGTAATCCTGCAGAACTGTGTGAATGTCTTTTAGTTCTGGGAGCTCGGGCAGAAAGTAGATCTCATGAAGGTAATCATTTACTTCTTCCCTGTTAAAAATGGACAGAGGCGTCAGGATTGTGCAGCGCTTTACCTAAAGCATTAATTTCCAAATTATAATTTTTCTACTTTGAGAGGTCTGTTAGAAATAAAAGAAATATTACTTCTTTCTTTTTTAGGGTTACCTGTTGTCAAGGATGAGGAAACGAATGATGGCAGCAGTTTCTTTAGGCTGCAGAGGGATCAAGGGAAGCAGTGCAACAATAACATGACTGAGGAGCGGGCCGAGGTGAGAAAGCTCCACGCTCCTCACAAAACAATCCCACGTCCTGAAAAAACAAAACAAAAGCTCACAAGTCTAGGCTGCACTCATCCTGGTGCTGACTTCAAGAATGAGTGACAGGTACTGACTGGCAGCAGAGCAGGGGGAAGTCCTCTCTGTAACGGAGACCAGTGCGAAGCGTCGTCATCATTTTCACTCTGACGGAGCTGATGTGTTTAGAGCCCATCAAGCGCATAAGAGCTATCACACTCGTCAAAGCCTGCATACAGTAGAGCGGACCAGGAATGACTGAAAAAGGGTTAAGTAGAACCGCCAGGCTGCAACCGGCTGTGGACGGCTCACCATTTTTTTGCGATCCTTCTCTCCTGCGCTGGAGCTGAGCAGCTGCATGTTGAAAAAAGCCAGAATCCCCAGCAGCTTGGGCTGCAGGTAATCTGCCTAAAACAAAGCAAAAAAAAACAGATATTTTAGCCACATAAGGCCTTAAATCTGCACATTCTAATAATCTGAAAGCAAACGTCCGACTAAAGTGTATCAAAGGAATCAGAGATTTTTCTAAACACCTTACAAAAGGGCTCATGCCTATTAAATCTGCCAAATGAAATCTAAAAATCAATCAATGTAAAGAAAAAAATGTTGGCTACCATGTGCTCTGGGGTGGTGATGTCTCTGGGACCCTTGTATGGATCATCGTTGGATGCAAAGGAGGCCAAGATCGCCAAACCGTTGAACACCTTTTAATTGAAGATTGTTGGAAAATTGTAAAGTTAATCAGTAAATAAACATTAGGGAAGAAGAATGGATGTAGGGTCTGAACCAGTGTTAATTTCGTCAGCCATGACGATGACGAAAAATTTTCAACGCCCCTTTTTCTCGTGACAATGACGAGACGATAACGAACAAAAATTGTTTCCAGAAAATAAAAATATGACGAAAATAAAAAATTATTTCCATCATTGAGACTAAGACAGATGAAATTTACGATCCATGGACGAATGGACATTAAGAAATGTAATTGTTTATAATGAATTTGTAATTTTTAAAATTAGTGTTTCTTGAGCTTCATACAAAATTAGGCGTTGTTGCCTCGTTTGTCTCTACATGTCCCTCAGTGCCCCGGAGCACTCAGTCAGTAGCAGCAGAGCTCAACTTTGCAGTCATTGCGGATACCGGGTGTGCGGTTTGTTAAACAACGCCTGGATGTATGGAGCCATTTCGTTTACAACTCGAAGAAAAACACAGGAGGAAGGACGCAGCAAAAGAGTCTGCGGCTTCAAAATGGCAGGGAAGAACACAGCGAATCTCTAGCGACATCCGAGGAGCCAACAGCTGACATAGGTAAGGAACAGGTGAGCCTGTAGTAGCGGGAACGGGAGTGTGTGTGCCCGCGCATGCATAAAGCTGTGTGCGTGTGTGTGCCTTCCTGTGCCTGTATCTGTCTGTCTCTCTGTCACAGAAGAAAGATGTTCTACTAATACTCTGGATATTAATCGTTTAAATTTCTTCCTCCCAACTAGATACCGGACACAGTGACACCACAGTCAAATCAGAGGTTGGAGAAGGGAGGGAAGCCTGTTGCAGAGATGCACACCCACCCCTGACGCCAAAGAGCAGAAAGCCCTGGAGAACTCAGTGGCAAAGTGGATTGGGCGTTCTGGCCTGCCTGTAAGGACCACTGAGGATGAAGACTTTGTGAATATGATGAAACAACCGACAAAAGGTTCAATGTGTACGGTGTGATATATGTTAAAAAGAGAATCAGTGTGTGAAGTTCTATTCTGCACAGTGTTAGACTAAGACTAAAACTAAATCGGGAAGACAATGACTAAATATGGCTAAGACTAAAACTGATTTTTGTCATTGTGACTAAGACTAAGACTAAAATAAAAAAAGCTGACGAAATTAACACTGGTCTGAACCCACCTGTTGGTAATGTTCTCCCAAGCGAAGCAGCAGCTCATTGTGAAGACCCTGGAAGTCTTGTCTTAGTAGAGAACCCAGCTCAATCTCAGTCTCACTCTTGGAGATAGGAGGAAAAATGACAAATGACAACCTGAATTTTTTGCAATAGTAATTAAGAAGAAAGGAAACATCCAGTACATAATTTTCTTTACCAAAATTTCCACTGCTCAGATCTTTATTTGATAACATTTGAAAAGTTTTCGGTTAATCTAAACACACATAAAACTGGTTTCTGTTTGGCGACTCTTTGACCACAGACTTTACTTTTGAGACACATAACTTATTTAGGACAGCAAGGATTAATAATATGAACTCTATAGGATACACAGATGTTTATAAGAACCTGTAGGTAGTGAAACGCTCTCTCCAGCTCCTCCTTGGTGCATGAACAAACCAGATGACTGAAGATGTACTTGAAATTGTTAATGAGGATCTCTCTCCTGTTTGCCTTCAGCTCAATGGCCAGAGTACGTATGAGGGCAGAGCCCGTGGTGCTCGCCTTAGATGCCAGGTAGGGCAGCAGCACCTGGAGCGTCTTCTGCATGCACAATAGGAAAAGAACATGGTGTGAAAATTGTTTTGCTAATTTTATACAGATAGAAAAAAAGAAAACTTATGTTTGAGCGCACGGTGAGGAAGCGATGGAGGTCTGGGAAGTCGAAAGCATGCGCGATCTGAGCCAGAATGTCCAGAGCCAGCTCTCTCTGGTTGGCAGATTCGCTGGTTTGATCTGGTGTGCTCCGTAGGGCAGACGCATGGCGGGAATGTAGCGACTCCACCAGAAACTGAAGGTATGACCCAGAAACAACTTTTCAGAAAGATATTTTCTACTCATCTCCACAATACATAAGGCACTATTATCCCGATAACTCCTCTGTATAAGAAGGTTGTTTAAAAAAAAAAAAAAAAAAAAATCACATCTATTTTTGTTCATAAATGTCCTTATGCTATAAGTTACATCATAAACAATTTTTAATGTGAGATAAAGACTAATCGATTGGCAAAACATCTACCTGGCAAATGGGGTTCTTGTACTGGCTGAACAGGGTCTGCAGCTTCAGTCCTTTGGCATCTGCCAGCGCTCTGATCTGAGTGTAAGCGGCCACAGAAACGCTGGATGACTTGGACAGGAGGCAATGGAGCAGACGCAGCAAGGAGAAGGACACCAAACTTCCCTGGCTGGCTCTAACACATGAGTGAAATAATTTACAGTATTTGCAGCAATACCCCCCAAACATCTGCAAAATGCCTGTCCAATAAATTAATCTCTATGTGCAGAAGCATAAGGCTACAGTATAGACCTTTGACCTTTTACAGCTACTTTTTGTGTCTCTGCTTCTGTCTCCTTGAACCCCAGTCGGCCTCAGCAGATGGCCGCTCACAATGAGCCTGGTTCTGCTGGAGGTTTCTTCCTGTTAAAAGGGAGTTTCTCCTCTCCACTGTCACTACAAGCATGCTTAGTATGAGGGATTGCATCTGAGTCAATTTGTCGATGCAATCAGTGGTTTTCCTTAGATAGAAAACTTTGAATCAATTTGACTGTATGATCTGGTGAACTGTAAAGTGCCTTGAGATGACATGTGTTGTGAATTGGTGCTATAGAAATAAACTGAATTGAAATTTCATTGATTCTAAATGCATTTATTTATATATAAAAAAACCTTGCATTATTAAAAAGTATACGTGTTTTAATCAATTCTAGTTTAATATTTTTCTTAATATACGTTTTTATGACCTGACGTTTTGGCATTTGTGACGGTCTGTTCGACAGCAGTATGAATACAAACTGACTGGCAGCCATTTGCCTCAGCTATTATTCAACACAGAAGAGCAAAGTGAGGATAGGCATTGATCTTTACATTAATCATATCAACGTTTTTATTATTTATGCACCTGTGCAGCACATCTATGTTCTCTAAGTTTAATATTTTTTAATCATCATTTCCTATCTAAACTTGCCCATATCTGTAAAAACTTGAAAAAAGTCACAAACAAGACTGGAAAACGATCAAAGTTAATTTTTTTATCATGCAGAAAAAGGAGGATGGAGGATGGGCTAAACATAAACTAAATCCTGCACTAACATAAACATTTCACCCTAATTGTAAAATTTATGTAATTTAATTAAATACATTTCCATTTAACTTTTTGTTTTTAGATCATTTTAACAAAAATCTAAATTAAATAAGCCTTACATGATGCATATTTATCAGTTTTATATACCTTATTTACTTAAAATACATAATTGTCAAATAAGAGACTTCTGTTGTGTTTTCTTAAATAGATGTAATCAATTAAAGAAAATAAATGCTTATTCAACAAAAATGTACACCTTAGATTTAAATTCTTTTTCGCAATAAATAAGGTATATAAACTAATAAATATGCATCATGTAAGATGTATTTAATAGGTTTGTGTTAAATTATATAAAAGATAAATAAATGGGAATCAGATAAGCAATAAAAATACATAAGTCTAGGGCTGCAACTAACGATTATTTTAAAAATCGATGAATCGGACGATTATTTTTTCGATTAATCGATGAATCGGACAAAAAATATTTTTTATATTAACCTCTTTATTCCAAAATAAACATTTTAGACAGAACAAACAAGCACACAAGTACAGGTTGCTCGTTAACTGTACTGGTGCAATATGAAAAATAAATGTTTGTGTTAAAACTACGCAAACTTACATGAGAAATGTACAGGTGCTGGTCATAAAATTAGAATATCATGAAAAAGTAGATTGATTTCAGTAATTCAATTTAAAAAGTGAAACTTGTATATTATATTCATACATTACATACAAACTCATATATTTCAGATGTTTATTTTGTTTAATTTTGATGATTACAAATGACAACAAATGAAAATCTCAAATTCATCATATCAGAAAATTAGAATATTACTGAAGACCAATAAAAACAAAGGATTTATAGAAATGTTGGCCAACTGAAAAGTATGAACATGAAAAGTATGAGCATGTACAGCACTCAGTATTTAGTTGGGCCTCCTTTGGCCTATATTACTGCAGCAATGCGGCGTGGCATGGAGTCGATCAGTCTGTGGCACTGCTCAGGTGTTATGATAGCCCAGGTTGCTCTAATAGTGGCTTTTAGCTCTTCTGAATTGTTGGGTCTGGTGTATTGCATCTTCTTCTTCACAATACCCCATAGATTTTCTATGGGGTTAAGGTCAGGAGAGTTTGCTGGCCAATTAAGAACAGGGATACCATGGTCCTTCAACCAGGTACTGGTAGCTTTGGCACTGTGTGCAGGTGCCAAGTCCTGTTGGAAAATGAAATCTGCATCTCCAAAAAGTTGGTCAGCTGCAGGAAGCATGAAGTGCTCTAAAACTTCCTGGTATGTGGCTGCGTTGACCCTGGACCTCAAAAAACACAATGGACCAACACCAGCAGATGACATGGCACCCCAAACCATCACTGACTGTGGAAACTTTACACTGGACTTCAAGCAACGTGGATGAAGTGCCTCTCTTCTTTTCCTCCAGACTCTGGGACCTTGATTTCCAAAGGAAATGCAAAATTTACTTTCATCAGAGAACATGACTTTGGACCACTCACCAGCAGTCCAGTCCTGTTTCTCTTTAGCCCAGGCAAGACGCTTCTGACGCTGTCTGTGGTTCAAGAGTGGCTTGACACAAGGAATGCGACAGCAGAAACCCATGTCTTTCATACGTCTGTGTGTGGTGGTTCTTGAAGCACTCACTCCAGCTGCAGTCCACTCTTTGTGAATCTCCCCCACATTTTTGAATGGGTTTTGTTTCACAATCCTCTCCAGGGTGCGGTTATCTCTCTTGCTTGTACACTTTTTTCGACCACATCTTTTTCTTCCCTTCGCCTCTCTATTAATGTGCTTGGACACTGAGCTCTGTGAACAGCCAGCCTCTTTAGCGATGACCTTTTGTGTCTTGCCCTCCTTGTGCAAGGTGTCGATGGTCGTCTTTTGGACAACTGTCAAGTCAGCAGTCTTCCCCATGATTGTGTAGCCTATAGAACTAGACTGAAAGACCATTTAAAGGCTTTTGCAGGTGGTTTGAGTTAATTAGCTGATTAGAGTGTGGCACCAGGGGCCATCAATTTTGAACCTTTTCACAATATTCTAATTTCCTGATATGATGAATTTGAGATTTTCATTTGTTGTCATTTGTAATCATCAAAATTAAACAAAATAAACATCTGAAATATATGAGTTTGTATGTAATGTATGAATATAATATACAAGTTTCACTTTTTAAATGGAATTACTGAAATCAATCTACTTTTTCATGATATTCTAATTTTATGACCAGCACCTGTAGCTGTACATCCACAAAATATAGGGTACTTTGTTTCATAAAGCGCAAAAAAAGACATTTTTGTTTTTAAAAGCCCCTAAGGGGTTCAAACAATAGGCCCCCCCATTTCAACAAATTAGTTTTTTTAGACTAGAAGAGTTCTGCCTTTTAAGACAGGAAAGTATAGCAGTTAAAGTTGCTGCTTGAGAAAATACTGAACCATAGAGATAAAAATAGCCCTGTGATTCAAATTATAAATTGTATTTGGAATAAAAATGAGAGAACTAGGGGTGCTAAAAAACACATCCTCCAAAGACAGATATTTACATGGGAATGTGGCAGATAATTAATTGACATATTACTGATCTTGCTGGATTTTATTCTGCTTTACTTCCATAAATTGCAGGATCTTCTTTACTTTAACTTTGCCAGAAGATTTAAACTTTAAAAGCCTTGCCCTCATAATTTGCAAGTTAATTTATTTATAAAGAAAATATAAACGCTGCTTAAGCTAATTCAAATGAAATTAAAGGTAAAATAAGTAGCCAACCTTATCCCTGTCTGTAACCTACTAACAATGTAAGGAAAGCATCAGATGAGCTACCTGAGAAACTAACGTTACGTTTCCCCACTTTAAAACCAAACAAACATGGTGGTTCCGTGCCATGTTAATTTCTTTTGAAAAAAGTTGCATGTTATCACTTTTTTCGCTTTACAAAGCGCAGGCTATTTTAATTATTGTGATTAGAAATATCCTGTCCAGGGGTGATGCTGAGAAACTAGTCCATGCATTTGTTACTTCAAGGCTGGACTATTGTAATTCTTTACTATCAGGAAGTCCACAAACTGTAGTTAAAAGCCTTCAGCTGATCCAAAATGCTGCAGCCAGAGTTCTAATGAAAATTAAAAAGAGAGATCATATCTCGCCTATCCTGGCTTCTCTTCATTGGCTTCCTGTTAAATCAAGAATAGAATTTAAAATCCTCCTTCTCACATATAAAGCCTTAAATGGCCAAGCTCCATCTTATATCAGAGATCTGATTGTTCCTTATGTTCCTAACAGAGCACTTCGCTCTCAATCTGCAGGTTTACTAGTGGTTCCTAGAATTTCTAAAAGTAGAATGGGAGGCAGATCTTTTAGTTATCAGGCTCCTCTCCTGTGGAACCAACTACCAGTTTTAGTCCGTGAGGCAGACACCCTGTCTACTTTTAAGGCTAGGCTTAAAACTTTCCTTTTTGATAAAGCTTATAGTTAGGGTGGCTCAGGTTATCCTGAGCTATCTCTATAGTTATGCTGCTATAGGCTTAGACTTTTGGAGGACATAGGGACCCCCATTTCATCATTCTGCTTCATTCTCTCTCTGTTCTCCTATTCTGCAGAATCTGTTAGTTCAATCTCTAACCTTCTGCTCTCTCTGCTTTTCCTCAGAGTAGCTTTGCCTCGTCTGTTCCTGTTTGGCTGTGACGTCATCCTGGAAAGAAACATCAGCTGTGCTGCTTCCATCAACACCCTTGTTTATAGATGTTGGAGATCGGCCGGTTTTCCAGTGTGGTCCTGTTTCTCTGACCGTGACTGAGTGGATGTGCTCTCTTCGTCCTCTGGCATGGGAGCTGCCTTGGAGCTCGTCTGCCTGGCTGTGTGTTTCCTGGACGGGGCCGCCTTTTACAGCTGCTTCTTGTATCTCTGCTTCTGTCTCCTTGAACCCCAGTCGGCCTCGGCAGATGGCCGCTCACACTGAGCCTGGTTCTGCTGGAGGTTTCTTCCTGTTAAAAGGGAGTTTTTCCTCTCCACTGTCGCTACAAGCATGCTTAGTGTGGGGGATTGTATTTGAGTTAATGAGTCAATGCAATCAACTGGTTTTCCTTAGATAGAAAACTTTGTATCAATTTGACTGTATGATCTGGTTGAACTGTAAAGTGCCTTGAGATGACATGTGTTGTGAATTTGGCGCTATATAAATAAACTGAATTGAATTGAATTGAATTGATCAATTTGCGCCGTCAATCCCGGTGCATGCGCGCTTCATTTGCAGTCTGGACGCTGAGGCTGACTGCAGCGCTGAGAGGGACTCCTGCGGGAAAACGCGGTTGGGGTGGGGGAGGCGCCCCACGGCAGAGTAGGAACGATACATGCTTTCACGTAAGAGTCTCCAAAAGCCACCAGTGACACTGAAAAAAAGTCGCCAGATTTGTCGCTAGAACGCTTTTTTGAAAAATAGTCGCTGGAGGGGTCTGAAAAGTCGCTGAGTTGGCAACACTGCACCTGCGGCACTGACTCGCTCTGCCTTTTTTTTTTTCTTCCTCTTTCAGTCAAGAGGCAGTGATGACGGCGCGGCGGATGACGCAATAATCGCGCGACACAACTAATCGATGATGAAATTCGTTGCCAACGCTTTTAAAAGTCGATTTTTATCGATTTTATCGATTCGTTGTTGCAGCCCTACATAAGTCATAAACTTTGGGTGAAATATTTTAGTGTGTATGCTTTTAGAAAGCAGAGAGGGACATCTTGTGGTCAACAAAGACATCATAACTAATAATTGGTTCTAAGGTTTATCTGCACATCTTTTCCAGGAGTTTAAATCATTTGGAGGATGTTGTAGTTATGCTAAATATATAGTCCAACATCTACAGTCATCTAAACACCTTATAGTGCTGAAATAAAAGAAGAGTGTTCCTACCTCCCGATCTCTCCCGTGGTGAGGATGAGGGTGTTTCGAAGGTCGTCATCTCTTCTGACTTTAGCGTTGCTGAATGCCTCCTTTAGACGTGCAACAAGGAGCTGAGGCAGCAACAAGAAACCAACATCCTCAGCATCTCCATCAACGTGTTACACAACCAATCGTTCAAAACAATACGCAGAACATCTCTGACTTGTCTTACCTCATTTAGAGTTCCCTGCTCTGAGTGTTTCGTGGATTCTGTCAGCAGAAATCGGACTGATTGGCTAAAACTTGTTCTAACCCCAGCATCGGAGTCCTCGATGAGGCCAAGCAGGGAACAGAGAACAGCCCGGGAGTCGCTGTCTGCGCCCAGTAGGCTCACATGCTGGCAGAGGTGAGGTAGAGCCTCTAGAAATGCTGTGATACGAATAAGATGGGAGAGTTTTAGATATCGATGTAGCATCTCCTCCAGCTTTAAAAAGTGAACATCTAGAGTACCTAGTTTAAAAGAGTTTGCAGCTTGTGGTCTGAGTAAAGTTAGAAACGGTTTAACCACAGATGCTTTGAGGGATGGCGTTTTATTCCCAGCATGATCTGTTACAAGACTCCAGCGAAGGCAGAGGACTTTAGGAAGAGGCATGGGTTCTATGTCAGAGTCGCTAAGCTTGGAGAGCTCCGACTGGATGCAGCTCAGCTGCCCAACAATCCTGGCGAGCTCCACCTTTACCTGCTCTGACTTGTCCTCCAGCAGAGACCTAAAAAAAAAAAAACACAGCGAAAAGCAGAAAGTCAGCACAAAAACATGATAGCAAGGAGCTCCTGTTTTCAGATGAGAAGGCGGAAAGTTTACTCACAGCAGAATGGTGCTGATGATGTCACGGTATCTGGATCCCAGATGATGAAGCAGGATGGGAGAGACTCTGACAGCTGTGGCTCTCACCGCCTCATCCTGACTCCGCAGTGCGTTGGTGAAGACACAGACGCGCCAGTTTTCAAACACACCCTGAGGCAGAAAGGCCAGCAACGACACACAATCTGCCTGGACTTCATGTGCTGAAACCACAGGTAGGATTGGGTAAAAATATCACAGTCAAGTTCTTTCTGCTACTCATCTAATTATATGTTGAAGCAGAGACACTTTGGAATGTGATGGGATTACATACAATAACAGAAGCTGAGTCTCTGAGCCAAGGCGGGCAGCCAGGAGGGGAACCCTGAACTCTTAAAGGCTGAGACTGACTTGTTTTCACAAACCCAAGGAAGAGACAGCAGAGCACAGACAAGCCGCTGTACCCCATCTTCAATCTGGCGGCTCACTAAACATGTAAGATAACATATCACCAGTACTCTGTTAGAATAAAAGAGGCCACTAAAAGCAGAGATTATACGACAGAAAACCAGCAGTGAGTTTGTTTTTGTCAGGAAACAAACAACAGCCTTCAAGATATCTTACATGTCGGGTAGAGAATGGAGTCAAGAACCCTGATGGTGGATTGAAAAGCAGATCTAAAGTAGTCCTGATCAGAGACGGGTCGAGACGCTCCTTCTAACAAGGACTTACAGCTCCTCAGCACTCGGCTCATAGTCTCAGTGGACACCCAGACCAGAGGACAGGAACTGCTGGCCAAGAAATTTTAAAAATGAGCCACAACATTTCATTCTGCTCATCTCCTCAAAAACAAGCCAGCAAAGTAGATTCTGAGTCTGTCAGAAGGAAGATGCTGTACCTTACAGGCGAGGAGCAAAAGGCTGCCAGATGGAGGACGAGGGCCACGCCCCGTAGGGCTGACACCGTCTGCTGGCTCTCTGGTTCTGCTGAGTCAGAGTTCAAAAGAGCCAGGAGCTCTTCAAGGCGCCGGTTCAATGAGGCCCAAACCTCACTTTGAACCCGCATGTCCAACTCGCTTAACACAGAGACACAAAAGATATCATTGGTTAACTGCCTGCTGTACTGAGATACAAACAAAACACAATTCAATCATTATAATATCATTATAAGAGATACTAATATATATTTGTATAGGTGCAGGCCCCCTGTTATAAAGCATTCACACCATGACAGAGAAACTCATAATGTATGTGTCCTTGGCAGGGACCTTAACAAGAAACGGAGCTGAAATAAATCAGAATACAAGGTGCTAAAACAGGATGCTAAAACTATATCACTTGCTGATTATCTCCAGCTTTTAATTTAATAATCTTTTTTATTAGTGTCCTAATATACATTTCCCACAACTTTGAATAAAAATGAAATCCCAGACACTTATGCTGAATGTTATCGAAGTTTATGGATAAAATCAGCAAACCTAGAGATCTTCACTGAAGGAAGCAGTGTCTCCACAGATACGACACGAGAGAAACAGGCTTATAAATGCCTTAGAGAAAATTTTGACCCTTTCATCTTAACTCCACTTTTCCAAGATATTTCCATACATTTAAACAATCACGACTATCAAGCCACCTGAGATTCATGTTGCTTTGGTCTGATTTCAGTTTTCCAACTGTATTGTGGTGGGCGGAGATCTAAATCTAAATCAGACATTAGATGTTTTTGTTCCTAATATGGATGTTATTTTTGTTGTTTTTATGACTGACCTGATGCCAGATTTGCATGATCTCTTGGCAGGAGACTCTCCATCTCCCGTCTTCTGCATCACAGTAGCTTTATCAGCCTTCAGAGCAACTCTTAGGAAGCCTTCTGCACACTGAAAAACATCAGATTTAGAAAGGAAAGCCATGCAAATGTGACAAAAATGGTTACATTGTAGAAAGGATGTAAAAGAAAAAAAAAGGTTCCTACTTCAGCTTGATTTTCTGTCCCAATGGTTGACGCCAGCGTCCTGCAGACGCCCACCACCTGCTGCCTCCGTAGCACTGCAGCACCTTCATAACTCGGGCCAAAAGACAGGGAAAAGCAGAAGAGCACGCAGAGCGATTCAGTAAGCTCTGATCCAAACCTAATGCCTGCTCCTCCGAGAGCGCAGACACACTCAAACATCTGCGAGAGGTAGACGGACTCAAAATCCGAGGGAGAAATGTAGGATGACTGAAACAAGCAGCGGGTGAGCTTGAGGAGCTCCCCTTCATAGGGTTCCTTCTCATCTGAGCTGTTGTGTGTTTTGAGAAGGTGAAAATAGGCTGGGAAGAAATTGTAGTTCTGGATGTGGTCAAATTTTCTTAGCTCCACCAGTTTTCTTATCATCACCATAGAAATCTTCCTCAGTTTGGTGTTCCCGTTTGCCAAGATGGAGCAGGCTGTCTCCAGGGTCACACTCAAATCCCGACAGGAAACAACTCCCCGCAGAGAGTCGGTTATGATACCAACAGTGACAGTGGTCAGTGACTCTAAGGCAGCCGGAGATGACAGTACAAGTGGAGTCTGGGTAAGGTAGGAGGCAGAGGAGGCAGAGAAGAGGAAACGTCCGAGCTTTACAGGCCACTGGTTCTGGGTGTAAATGCCCAGGTCATGTCCTGGTCCCGATAGTGTTGCTATATGAGCAAATAGTATGTTGCTGAGGTCTTGGGCCATTAAAATGAATTCCTGAATGAGGCAGCTGAAGATGAAGGGCACTCTGACCCTGAAAGAGTGAAGTAAAGAGCAAAGCACAGCAGAGACCCTCCCATGGATCACGCCACAGCCTGGAGCTGCTGCCACACGAAGTAAACGTACTGCTACCCACTTACTAAAGTCTGAAGGTGGGAAGAGAGAGAAAACAATGGATTAGTAAGTGATCTTAAAAGAATTACCATCAACAAGTATTTTATTTATTTATTTATTTTTTTACCAATGCAGCTCTGTATGGTGTCCGGATACTCAGCAGGCTGACAGGCAGGATTAGCAAACATCAGAGACGAGGATTTGATTATATGTTGCACAAAATCCAGAAGCATCACACAAGCTGGCTCTGAACTGGACTTTTTGTTCAGACCTATAGCAACTGCAAAAAAAAATTAAAAAATAATAATAATAATAGTTTCTGTAATATTTCCAAATAAGAAATATTACTTTATTTTTTTATATATTTTTTAGATTAATTTAAAAAATTAAAATTTGGGGCAATAACTATCAAAAAACCTTTTAAATCCTGATTCCAGATTTAATTCCCAGACTACTTAATCAATTAACAGTGATTTTGTTAAACAATATTATTTTAAACTGAGGATCAGACTTAAGCCCATTTTACCAAAAAAGCTCTCAGAGGCCTTTACCTCTTTACCAAAGTCAGTAACTTTGGATTGTCCTTTGCTTTTTTTCAAACCTGTGCTAATATAGTATGAGTTGGTTACTGTTGGTTACTTCATCATCCATATTATCTGGTAAAACACGGATTCCTGCCTAAGTGTGTTTTTATAGGATTTAGCCTAGGGTATCAATTTTGGTTAAAAAGAAAATAGAATTTTTTTTTTTTTTTTTAGAGAACCAGTTATTTCATAACTGATTGCTTGCATAAAAACATCAAATAAACTGTCCAGTTTTAGATAACTTAATTAAAATCTTGCAAAGAAACCAAGACAACATATGTATGGATGTATACAACATTTATACAATTGAGGGAGTTCTATGACTGCATATATTTTATTGGATGGTTGAATCATTTTATTATAGGTCATTTCATACATTGATATCAGAGATGGAAAGAAAAACGTTTGGAAATACAAACAACTTTTTTTTTTTGCACTGATTTAAACCTAACAGATCCCACACTTTTCACTTAATGTCACTAAAAACTGTGCGCAGAACTGGCATCTTAATTGTTAATATTTGAATTTGGACCTGGTTCTGATCTAAAGCTGTATTTCTATGTGATCTGTTGACTTACCAACGTCTACATCTGTCAGTATCCTGTCAATGAACTGGCAGAGGATCTGTCGGGGTTTCTGCACCGCTAAGTCATACTCAGCAGCACTGGCGCTGTGAAAATAAACAGTGTTAACCCTTTCTAACAGGGTCATTCAGCAGCGGGATAAACTTCAGGTAGTGAATAAATGTAAAACAACACAGCAACAATCGATGTGTTTCTGTTAAAAAGCTGTTAGCAGATTAGCTTTTTGCCTGTTTTACCCACCTAGCTAGCTCCTGAAGAGCGGGAATCATTGCAGACATTTCAAGTCCCTCCATGTTTAAGCTTCCACTTCCTACCGCAGTGTTTAAAAGAAAAATATACACATTTTTATGAGTTAAATAATTTTAAAGTGGCTCCCCATCGTACCACGAGTTTCGAAAACTTTCGCTCCACAATGACGTCGTTTTTTATTTGGTACGGTATCCACCGAGGCTCAATATACTCAAGTTCGAACTCCGAGAACTATTTTCCTATATTCCTATTTTTAGGGGTTAAAAGTGTATGCAGGCTCCAGTAACATAAATAACAGTTGGAAAACCGTAAAGAACAATAGCATAATCAAACACAATTTCCAATTACTTAAGTAAGAGTAAAATTAGAGAAAATGTTGAAAACAAAAACACAAAAAGTCAGAGAAACTAAAATCAGAAAGTAGTTGTAGTATTTTGTAGATTGTTTCGTCTCTCTTCAAGTAACATAGAAAGTCACACAATTACTAATTGAATTTTAAACAATCACTGTTTTTTTTTTTTACTGAAATTTGTTTTATCAATGTAAAAATATTTAAGAAAGGCCTAAAATTAATTGCACCCACAATTCACATGTTGTATTGTTGTTTTTTTAATAAAGGAATTTTTGTTCTATTTAACAATCTATTTTGTTCTTTACATTGCTATGAAAATAGAATAAGTCATCCTTATTTTTATAAATTTTTTATCTACCTAGAAAAAAATGCCAAACCTAATAGCTGATTAAGTAAGGGATGCTGGAGTCAGATGTTTTTAAAGCCAATGGTAGAAGTGGAATTTTTTTTTACTAGATTGCCAAGAAAGTTATCTAGCCTGATAGAAATCTTAACAAAGTAATACATATATCCAAGAGCAAAACAATAAAATAACCGTGTTTACCGATATTTGCAGTTTGAGAAGGTATAACATACAGAGAAATATAATTTATGTTTATATTGTGAGAAGCTCAATTACCGAATAAAACAAATGGCAAATTCTTCCAGTTATCCAACATGCAACTTGATCATAGTTATGGTGGCTTTGATGTCAGTCCTGAAACCAAATAAACGATTTCACTGGAAATCCAGGAAAACATTAGATGCCACAAGCGCTTGTTCTTGGTTCTCTGCCGCCCCCCTCAGTTCATTGGAGACAATGACAAAGTTTTTTGTACTGCAACAAAAGGCAGTTCAAGAAATATCCCTAATGCTTCTTGTACCACATGTTGATAACCACAGGTCTAGCTAATATAGTTGTAAATAGTTCCAGCAATATGAAAAGCTGGAAAAACACAGTGATACACAGAACTGTAACAAATAAATGTTACTGGTCCACAAAATCAAATCTTTTTTGTAGTGTGTTATGTGGCTTAAAATCTAAATCTTTAAATCTAAATGTAAATGTTTTGCTTAAAAATAAAGCGTACACCAGCAAGATAAGTGTTACCCATATGTGAAATATAGTTGTAATATCTATTTGGATACATCAGTTTGGATTGTCTGAAGGCAATAACGGATCATGTTCTGGGTTTACCTTATAAAAGTTAATATAATATAAATGTATTCTTTAAACAATATAATATATAAAATTGAAATATGTGTTTCCTTATGTTTAACAATCTAAAGGCCTTTTAAATAATCCAGCAAGACATGTTTTCCATTAGCAACGCATTTTATTTGTCTTTACACTAAAGTTAAATGAATTTGCAGCAACCTCTTTCCTCCATTCATTTCTTTTTTGTTAATCCCAAAACATACAGAGATGCCATATATGGTTTACACAATTTTACAAGCCTATGAAATCTATAATGATAAATCAGGTTTCAAAGACTCAGATTATAAAAGCCTTACATTTCATGTGGCTGATTCAAACCATCTGGGAATAGAAAAGCACAGACACAGTATACACACAAAACTATTGAACTTTTATATTTAATAATGTTCAGTTCAGTAATTTAATATCAATATTCAGTGCATGACATTCATAGGTTTAAAATAAGGCTTTTATTTGTGATTCTTTCACCCCTGTGGTTCATCTTTAATTGCAAAAGGTGATGAACGCTTCGGGCTAGGAAAAGTTTATTTAGAATCAACCAAAGTGGTGTTTAAAAAAACTGTATGAATCAAATCATAGATAAACTAATGAAGCAGCTTAACAAAATTGAAATCAATTACAAGTTAGCTAGGAAAACAACAAATGTCCTATAGATTTGTTCTGGCAGATAAATGCAAAATGTTCATTGAAAGGAAGAAAAGTATGATACAAATTAAAAACAAAAAGGAGAAAAGATGCAAATGTAGGTTTCTTTTGTTTTAAAACATGGTTTTCTATTCAGCGTTTGCTTTTTCTCAAGTCATGTCCCATGAGGCAGGCAAACACCGTCATCACCATTTTATTTTTCACCTCCACCAGGTCATCAGGCAGGGCGTAGACTCGAGCGCCGATCTTACGGGCCAAGGAGATTGCATACCTTGGAGAGAAAAAAAAGAAAGGAAACAAATCACACAATGAAAAGGAAGAGAAAAAACCCCCAAAAGAGATGAAAAAGAATTTCCGTCTTTACTTGGCATTGTTGAGTTTCTCATCATTCTTCAACACCCCCTTTTCTCCTCTCTTCACCATGTCCCACTTCACCATGCCAGGGGCGATGGCGTCAATCAGGTCAATCACAGGCAAACTGGTGCTGATCAGCTTGTCCTGCAGAGAACATAAAACAGAATTACATTCCTCTATAGCTTTGAGTTAACAGAGGTAATCAACAGTCTGCACCTTTGAGTCAAAATGTAAGGTTTGGAGGCAGAAAACAGTTGAAAAACAAATTTATAAGAAGGATAACATTTTAGAAAAAAAAAACATACAATAACCATGGAGCATAAATGTGTTGACCCTTGAACTAATACTACACACACCACCCAGCTACCACCATTTTTACATTTTAGAGCTGCAGCTTAAATATAAACTGATTTGAAAATTCACACACAAAGTTCAATAAGATTTTAGCTGGACCTAAAGGTTTCTAGCTAAAGATAATTACATCCCCCCGTTCCCTCGCTTAAGTTCAGGGAAATAAAGCAAGCTGTTTAATGAGAAAATAGAAAGTATGGGGGGGGGGGGGGGGGGGGAATGACACTAACTGCAAAACAGTTTGACTTGTCTTCTTGTGCCATTTTGACACCAAACATTTGTAATGTCTTTTGTTGTTCCGTGCTTTTTGTAAATATAGATGAATGTTATTATTGTGCAGGTAGACAGATAGACATATGAACAAACCAGACAATGATCTTTCAAAGATCTCGGTTGAATTGGACAGAAAACTAGTTCTGCTGTAACTAAACCAAATATAAAAAAGCAGCAAATTTTTTAAAAGACTCTCCACTTAAAAAAAAAAAATGCACAACCGTGTACCCACTCTGGAGATGGAACACTCATTAAATGTGTGTGCGGGAGCATCCACAAGCCCATTTCTCCTTGTGCACGCTCTGTTTAAAAGTTGCTGTTTTTATCGTTCATACAAGCTTAGTTTCTAAAGGAAGATTTGCAAATTTTCCATTATGTCAGACTCACCACTGGTAAATGAAAATGGGTACAAGCACGTAAGACGGCCTTACGTAAATATAGTATCACCAGAATGATTGACAATTAAGAGGACCACTGATATTGATGATCCACCCGGAAGAAGAGCATCCTCCACTATACTTTAAAACAAAAGATCTGGTTCCACCCACCTTAAAGCTGCTGATGTGTGTCTCCTTTCGACTGTCCTTAAGGGTGGTGTTGACCCAGTTTAGGATAAACTGATCCACATCTTTCTCTTTGTGGCCCAAATTGGACAGAACCATGACAGTGTACCTGAAGAAGGACAAACGGAAAAAATAATCAAGAATGCAAACGAGCAGTTATGATGCCCACTTTTTTTCACCTATAAACTAAATGAAAGAAAGAAAGACTTTTTGGAGCATGCACCTTCTCATCAGCTGCCACACCAAAGCCAGGGTGTGCACACGATCTCCCTCGTTGATGTTTTGTCCTCCAACTCCGACCAGAGAGAAGTTGGCGTCCTCCTTGCTGAGCCTTACGGCATAGTTGCAGTTCTCCAGCTAGAATAAATTTTGTAAAGTTTAGCCTTCCTTGAATTGAACACATGCATGTTTTCATGAGTTTCTGCAACATTTGCATGTCACCTTCTTCATATTTCCTCCCAGTTGAGGATAAGGAGGGTTGTTGACTCTCTTCCAGTCCACAACTACTCGGACTTTTTCTAGAAGCTGCAAAATCACTATGCCATCACAAAGGTCCCTAAAAAAAAAAAAAAAAAGAAACAGGATAAAAATGCTGATAAATATTAACATGGAAAGCTGTTCATTGTTTTTTTTTTTTTTTTTTTTCCATGAATCCCTATAAACTACAGTACTGGATCATCATGTATCTATAAAGGTCTTTCAAAAAAAAATAAGTGTGAAGATACATAAAAAGAGCCAGTTTTAGCTATGGTTTAGTGAGGTTTCATACTATATCTCCAGAAAAACTCCAAAGGGAACAACTTATAAAAGTTGTGTTTCCTATCTGAATTTCAAACATATTTGATAATTTAGTTGGTTAGCATGCAAATTAAAGAGTATTCTTTAGGTGAAGGGTTATAAAGGTTTAGCAGCACAAAAGAGAAAAGACATGATGGACTTGTTGGAAGTCAAGGTTGCCGACCCTGAATCTATTAATCAGAGCAGCTGCCAATAGACCCGTTGTATCCTTCTCATCACTTTGAAGCTCAAATGTCAAAATCTGTTGACACTATTTTATCTCTTAAGTCACATACTTCTCAGATGTGGGCCTTTAAGTAAAAAGGTAAAAAAGCAGTTGTTTTGTTCATAATCATGTGTTAGAATGTGTCATGGTCCTGCTCTGATTGTTCCTGTTAACCATTTGTTGTCCTCTGCTGCCCTCTTGTGTCCTCTGTTTCTCTGTCCTGCCAAGCACCTGCTGCCAATTTCCTCGTCAGCTCTCTCTCTGTCTCTGTCCCCTTTAAAAGCCCTCCCTGTTCAGCTCCTGTTTGCTGGATCCTCGTCAAACATCCTGTCTAACTTCTGTCTGTGTACCTCATCTCTCCCTGGTTCCTAGTTTGGATTTACCACTGATGTCTCCTTGGTTCAGGTTCGTTTGCTGTTTACTTTTGGACTCTGATTCCTGCTCCTGGATCTGTGAACTTTAATAAAACCACTTTCACCTCTGCCTACTGGTCCCTGCGTTTGGGTCCTCCATACAAACACCGATTTCATGACAGAGGGATCCAGCCAACAACATGGACCCAGCAGAGAACCAGGCATGTGAACTCCTCAGCCCTCCCCATATACAGGAGTCTGACCTGTGGAGCTTTTTTTATGGGGAGAAAGAAGATTTTTTTTTGTTCCTGCCACCGCCATCAGCTCCAAGAGCCCCTCGGCGGGGGCTCCAAGCCTCCAAGGCCCCTCAGCGGGCGCTTAAAGCCTCCAAGGCCCCTAAGCGGGCGCCCCAAGCCTTCAAGTCCCCCTCCATGGTGGTTCCTCTGCTGCAGTGGGCGGCCCCTTTGGAGGCTGTTCCTGAGCCGCAGTGGGCAGCCCCGTCCGAGCCTGATCCTGTTCCTGAGACGCAGTGGGCGGCCCCGGCCTAGCCTGATCCTGTTCCTGAGCCGCAGTGGGCGGCCCCGGCCGAGCCTGAACCTGTTCCTGAGCCGCAGTGGGCGGCCTCGTCTTATCCTGTTCCTGAGCCGCGGTGGGCGGCCCAGTCTGATCCTGTTCCTGAGCCGCAGTCGACGGCTCCCTCTGAGGCTGTTCCAGAGCCGCGGTCGACGGCCCCCTCTGAGCCTGTTCCAGAGCCGCGGTCGACGGCCCCCTCTGAGCCTGTTCCAGAGCCGCGGTCGACGGCCCCCTCTGAGCCTGTTCCAGAGCCGCGGTCGACGGCCCCCTCTGAGGCTGTTCCAGAGCCGCGGTCGACGGCTCCCTCTGAGGCTGTTCCAGAGCCGCAGTCGACGGCTCCCTCTAAGGCTGTTCCAGAGCCGCAGTCGACGGCTCCCTCTAAGGCTGTTCCAGAGCCGCAGTCGACGGCTCCCTCTAAGGCTGTTCCAGAGCCGCAGTCGACGGCTCCCTCTGAGCCTGTTGCAGAGCAACAGAGGCGGGGGCGGCGTCCTCCCCGGCGCATCCTGCTGAAGCGGGGGCGGCGTCCTCCCCGGCGCATCCTGCTGAAGCGGGGGCGGCGTCCTCCCCGGCGCATCCTGCTGAAGCGGAGGCGGCGTCCTCCTCGGCGCATCCTGCTGAAGCTGAGGCGGCGTCCTCCTCCTAGGTTCCTGCTGCATTGGAGACGCCGGCCTCCAGAGCGTCTCTCTCAGCTCCGGCCCCACGGCCGGCCTCCAGAGCGTCTCTCTCAGCTCCGGCCCCACGTCCGGCCTCCAGAGCGTCTCTCTCAGCTCCGGCCCCACGGCCGGCCTCCAGAGCGTCTCTCTCAGCTCCGGCCCCACGGCCGGCCTCCAGAGCGTCTCTCTCAGCTCCTGCCCCACGGCCGGCCTCCAGAGCGTCTCTCTCAGCTCCGGCCCCACGGCCGGTCTCCAGAGCGTCTCTCTCAGCTCCGGCCCCACGGCCGGTCTCCAGAACGTCTCTCTCAGCTCCGGCCCCACGGCCGGTCTCCAGAACGTCTCTCTCAGCTCCGGCCCCACGGCCGGTCTCCAGAGCGTCTCTCTCAGCTCCGGCCCCACGGCCGGTCTCCAGAGCGTCTCTCTCAGCTCCGGCCCCACGGCCGGTCTCCAGAGCGTCTCTCTCAGCTCCGGCCCCACGGCCGGTCTCCAGAGCGTCTCTCTCAGCTCCGGCCCCACGGCCGGTCTCCAGAGCGTCTCTCTCAGCTCCGGCCCCACGGCCGGTCTCCAGAGCGTCTCTCTCAGCTCCGGCCCCACGGCCGGTCTCCAGAGACTTTTTGTTTCCCTCGCCCACCCTGGGTGGGTTGTTTTTAGTTTCTGGACATTTTAGGGCGTCTGGGATCCGCCCTTAGGTGGGGGGTACTGTCATGGTCCTGGTCTGATTGTTCCTGTTATCCATTTGTTGTCCTCTGCTGCCCTCTTGTGTCCTCTGTTTCTCTGTCCTGCCAAGCACCTGCTGCCAATTTCCTCGTCAGCTCTCTCTCTGTCTCTGTCCCCTTTAAAAGCCCTCCCTGTTCAGCTCCTGTTTGCTGGATCCTCGTCAAACATCCTGTCTAACTTCTGTCTGTGTACCTCATCTCTCCCTGGTTCCTAGTTTGGATTTACCACTGATGTCTCCTTGGTTCAGGTTCGTTTGCTGTTTACTTTTGGACTCTGATTCCTGCTCCTGGATCTGTGAACTTTAATAAAACCACTTTCACCTCTGCCTACTGGTCCCTGCGTTTGGGTCCTCCATACAAACACCGATTTCATGACAGAATGGCCAAGTTGAAGTCCAGCCTAAATGCCATTAATATTATGCAAGAAAGACTTGATAAAAAGGCTCTTTATTTAATCTGACTAAGCCTAAGCTTCACTGTAAGGAAGAGCTAGCAAATATATTCTAAATTCTTCATTTACCAAGTTGTACCCTAGAAGAAGCAAAATAATGGATACAAACTATGAATGCAAAGGTGGAAGAAAAGATTTGTTTTATTTGTGAAAATAATAGGAATCATGAGGCAATCAAAAACATTTAAAAATTAAGACAGAAGTAGGAACAATTCTGTAAGGACCTGCATGTATCCCCCATCTGAAACCTTAGAGTTTTATGTTCTGCATTTCTTTGTCTATGTTTCCATCTTTTCCCTGTTAAACAGCACAGTCACATATTGGCTATCCATGTGGAAATTAAGTACTTATATCGTCAGATTAGAATAATTACCCTCATATACAACTGATGACCTACCGATAAAGATGGTTTACACGTGGAGAGACACCTAGGGAGTTCATCCAGTTACGGAATGTTTTCTCTTCCCTGGTTTCAGCTGACAACACATAAATACAAGATATAGGTTATCATTCTCCGACCCCGCCTCATATGCTGAACATTTCAAACATTACAACGATACACCTTAATATGTCTTAGTATTTTCTGATTTTCTGTTGATCCATAAACATCACTCACGCTCTATGTGTTCCCCTTCCAGGTTAAACTTAGGCTTGTGCAGACCAGGATGCATGTTAAACAAGTTGGCCACAAAGGCCAGGTTGAGTTTGATGTTTCCAGACGTGACGTCACGGGGAGAAACAAACTGCCTGCAGTCCAACTTGGCTGCTTCCTGCAGCATTAGCTCAGCCCTTCGCTCCAAATCCCACTCCTGTATATATACAAACGTACATGCACTGTAACAGATGTGGCCGTGGTGAGGATCTGCTCAAGTTCACTGAAGCAAAAGCGACTTACATTGAGGCCAGCCATGTTGATTTTGATCCCCATGTGGAATTCATCTTCATCTCGTGGGGAAATCTGGTCCAACAGGTAGAAGTAGGCCCTTGAGTCCTTTAAAGGCAACAAATAAATATTTATTGCATGACTGTATAAGTATAATGTCTAGTGATAAACACTGATAAGTACCTTGATATCAGAGCTGAAATTGCTGATTTGTTCTGTTCCTGCATTGATTAGGTGGTAGTTGACCCATCGTAGAAGAAGCTCCTCAGGAGACAGAGACATGAGATGCTCTATGTCCTCTCCTTCCATCAGAATGGAAATCAAGCCTGGACAGAGACAGGATTGAGCTCAACATTTCAGTTTTCCTGGTGAGAAACGTCAACTGTGTCATACCGGTAAATAAAACTCATATGAAAGAAAGTGAGAATTATTTTAATTGAATTCATCTGAGTGAGTGAGTGAGTGAGTGAGTGAGTGAGTGAGTGAGTGAGTGAGTGAGTGAGTGAGTGAGTGAGTGAGTGAGTGAGTGAGTGAGTGAGTGAGTGAGCCTTTGAGCAAGCGAACGAGTGAGTGAACTGACCTTCGTTCCTGGAGATTTCGATATCAGCAAAGAGGCCGACCTTGATAATCTGCCACAGGAGTCCCAGGACCAGGTGGGGTTTCCCAGCCATCAGGTCATGTGCATCGATGCTCACCACCGTGCAGCCAATTGCCAAGGCTGAGTTCAGGGCTAAGACAATGTTTTCCTAAGAATGCACATAAAAACATGTTGGCTTTGATGAAGAATATTATAAACTGTTTAACAAAGTAGTGTTATCTCTATCTATAAACAGTCAATACATATTATCAAAAAAAGCTAGTGATACCAAAAGGTTTACGTTAGACAGAGCGTTTTTCCCCTTTCCTCTTTAGATAGTAAACTGTAAGCATTCTGTCATTTTGTTCTTCTTTGTTTCCATTGGTGATTACTGAGCCACACTGCCTGTTGTATATATGGTATATAGCTATGTACTATATACTTTATATAGTATGTTTTATGTTTTATATTGTATATAGCTATAGATTCTGTATTCTGTTTATGTATATACATTTTGTCTGCACCATCAACACTAAGTCAAATTCTTTGTAAGTGCAAACCTACTTGTCAATAAACTTGTTTCTGATCATTAGTAGTGATGCCCTTTTGGGCACTGATCTGTAGACTAAAACATACATGAAATCTATAAAGACAACATATTGAGAATTTAGTCCTTGTGTGTCTCTGTTTTAAACTTTGAGGATAAATGGACCTTTATACGCTGTGATTTGAACAATTACATACATATCAGTGAAGTCATTGATAGGATCATTAAAGTTATTTCCTCCCAGGGAGATGGGTCGTGGTTGCACTTTAGGCATTGGACCGCAGAAATATGAAGCCACCTCCTCAGTTGGACTTTTTGAATGAACTTTTTCAAAACTGAGGCCAGACATGAGTGGATTGTCACTGAATGGGGATAGCCTACTTTATCAATTACAGTACATGCCTTGCCATAAAAGAACCACAGAATGACATGTTTCCTGCCACAGCAGCTTTTTTTCTCTTTCTTTTATGCTTAGAAGATTAGCTGTCTTTTCATGCCATTCCTTTATGTCACTGTTTTCATCAGAGGAAAAGTTAGAATCTGGATACAGTATTGTGTATTTTATAAAATTGCGAGAAAACATGCCATCCGGAATCTCCCTCTGTGTCAAAAGTCTGTCCTCAAGGGCTGCTGTCCTGCAGGTTTTAGAGGTTTTCCTGCTGCTGCACAGCTGATTTCAATTGATAGCTGATTAAAAGGCTTTTTAATATATATTTAAGCGGGGAAACCTCTAAAGTCTTTGGACGTTGGACATGCTTGCTCTACTATGTTTCACTTGCTAATCCGTTGACTATAAATCTTATCAGTGAAGTCTTATAAGTGAAATTATATAAACTTACACCGTATGGCTGATTGCTTCTGTGCTCATAGCTGCTATGAGATCTAACATGGAGCATTCAGGTTTGGTGCAGAGTTATAAATAGTGTAGAGATATACTCACCCTCCTTGTGAATGTGGTAAGTTTCTTTGTGTTGATGACTCGTTCATCGATTGTGTCTGGCTGGGACAGGTTGATGAGCTTACTGAAAGAAAAAAAAAGGAGTAGGAGAGGTTGGTTAAAGGGAAGCTTAGGAGAGTGACTGACGCCCTATGTGAAGAGCCTCAGCCCATGCAAAGGTCCACCATGCAGTGAGAAAATTATGCACATCTAAGATGAACATCTATAAAGCAATATAACATGTTATCAGACTGATTCTCCTGCAACCTTTGCAGCAACATAAAACACTGAACGCCATGTTCTGAGTGCTCAATGCAAATCCCCATCTAAGGTTAACTGAACTTGTTTAATGGTTATACAAAGTACAACTGCGCAAAAAATCGCAACTCACTATCATGGCAGCAATACACAAGTGGTACTCATTAATAGCTATATTATCTAAAAAAAAAAGCCCTTTATATTATACTTCACTATATAGTCTAAACTGTATATACATATATAGTATACATACTATATATATATATATATATATATATATATATATATATATATATATATATATAAAGTGTAAATATATTTATATATATGTATATAATTGTGCATATATGTATATATATGTTTAGCAGGAAGGTTACTCTACTTAAAGTTAATTTAAGAGACGGAGGGGGAGTATGAAAAATACATTTTACTTCTTATACCCCTTTTCAGACAATTTACATTAATCAATGTTAGTTCTCTGGCTATGTATACTAACAGGTTTATTTGGTGGAGGGTTTTGTTTCTATTTATGTTCAGATGAATTTATTTAGTTTGGAAATTGGTGTTATTGAAATTGTCTTAAATTGTCTGAAATAAATTCCTTTTCATGCACTTATTCATTCATTCATTCTTTCATTCATAAACAAACTAATATTTAACTTAAACCCATAGTTTCTTGGTATTTAATGGATGATTTATATACATATAACATTTATTTAAGTCGTTTTACTCCCTTTCAAAGCTTGAGTAATATCTTACATAGTAATAAACTGAGGTATAATTGTATATTATACGCCTGACTGTATTTTAGCAAAAAATTGTGGGGGTTTTTTGTTTTGTTTTTTTTTTATCCAGGGAGATACTGATGAAAATGTTGAAACATAATTCTGTATTACCAAAAAAGTATTCTGTAATATTGAACTGGGTCTTACTGAGTTGTAATTCAGTAAGACCCAGTTGTACCAATGGGGTATGTGGGTAAAATCAATGAAAGATGCACAGGATGTTTGTATTGTTACATACTTCTGTAAAAGTGCATGTGTTTATGTCGTACCAGAGCAGGATGCCATCACGGAGTGAGGCAAAAAGGCTCTCATCAGTTGGGTCTACAGGCAGCAGGTGTTTGCAGTCAGGATCCTTTGCCAAAGATTTGTTGATCCATCTAGCGAAGGCTACTTTCTCCTCATCTGAACAAACAAGAATTGAAGGTTAAGATGCTAAGTTAGAAACTTTAAACAGTCCCTGATTCTGTCTGATCGGGCACAAAGAGTGCACTCTCTGTGTGTTAAAAATGTTTAACATTTCAGTGATTTAGACCTTTGCAAGGTTTTAAAATGACCCAACTCTGACATTAAAGTCATACATTACATATGGCCAAAATATTAACAACTATATTAAAACAAAACAGTATACTTTCAACACACTAAACCAATATAAAACATACCCAAGGACATGCAAAGGGTTGCATGTTTTTATGGTTTGTCTGTTGGGGGATTTTTTTTATATACATGGATAATCAAATGAATGAAATATATTTATTTACTTTCTTTAAGGAATTCACACAATAATGACCTCATGATCATGTTACTGTACTTGTTATTTGAAATATGACTGATGTATTTAAGTTAGGTTTTATTTATATCAGCTTTGCACATTTTCAGACAACTGTTTGGCACAATGGAGATAAAAACAGACATTACATGAGGGAATCCAACTAGAAACAATGATAAACTAATTACTTATATGCTAATGGCTGTGTGGAGAATGACATAGGACACAGATGTGTTAATCAGGAGACAATATGAATCAGCTGAGTCAAAAGGTAAGCAGGGGGCACTGAGGGAAACAGACCAAATAATACAGAGGAAATTAACTAAACTGCAAGAAAGCAAATTAAGGGTGAAGGATAAGTACTAACCCAGGGCAGTAATACACATAAACTAAGAAGCTAAACACAAACACATGCACTAATGTGAAAAGAATAGAATGAACCTAAACAAACAAACAAACAAAAAAAATAATCTGAAATACTTAAGATAAAAGAAAATATAAACCATTGGAGATTATGTCACTGGAAGGTGAACCTTTAAAATAAAAAATCTGTCCCTTCTCCATATATATTGCCCTCAATTTACTTTCATGCATCAACTCTGAACAGCAGAAGAAAAGCATCCCCACAGCATGATTACGCCGCCACCAAGCTAAAGTGCAATTCACCACGTGTAAACGCATAACCTTATCTCAGACAAATTTTGAAAATTGTGCTAAGAGACAGTGTAGTGTGGGGATCAGTGAGTGGTCAGAATGAGAGAAAGGGGCAGCTAGCTTATTCTAGCCTAGCTTGGCTTAACCATGTTTAAACACGGAGAGTGAGGTATCCCGGTAGTTACACTGTAAAATTCAACTTAGACATCTTTGACATAAATATTGCAGCACTAAAAGAAAGAAAATAATAAAAAGAAAAAGAAAATGCACAGAAAAATTACAATAATATCATAGTTCATACTTTCTATCCTTAAAAAAAAAGAGTGGAGATGGTGTTTAATGGTGATGTGCTGTGTTAGTTTTCTATCACACATAGGGCCAGATCTATCAAAGATTTGCGTGTATAAAAACGTGAGCTATTTCACTGCGCACGCTAAAAAATTTACAAACTGATCTATCAACAGAGTGCTAAAAGGATTTGGTCTTTAAAACGTGCTAAATAGCGCCTCTTATCCATTTAGTACTTTTTCAGCAATGAATATGCAATATGGGGCGTTTACACACAAAAGTGCGTCTTGTGGGAGGAGAACATGTAAATATATTAATTTAGCACTCGCAAAGTGATTTATCAAACCTGAAAGCAATTTTGCTAACGGTATCTGACTCTATATTTAACATGTTTCAAAAGAAGGTGCAAATAGTCTGTATGCGTAATTACGCACACATGGCAGCGGTTATTGTCGCAAGAAGGAGACATCGAAATGAAGCAAGGAGACGCAGAGAAGGCATTTTTTCACTCCGTGTGAATATTTTTGGAATGAACGAGGAAGAGATCATTAAAACATGTCATTTATCCAGCATTGCCATTTTGGAGCTGTTGGGGGAACTCCGAATGGATTTGGAGCCAGCCACAAGGAGGACCCACGCAATACCAGATATCACAAAACTCCTTGCAACATTGGACTTTTTTGCATCTGGGTCATTCCAGCGTACGGTTGCAGCGAGAGCTGGGATCTCCCAATCTCATTTTTCCGAAGTGCTGTCCGACGTTCTAAATGCCATGTCGCCCTGACGCCCTACCGGAGAACCCCGACCTCCCCCCTGCGCCTGTGGAGCAACATGCCAATGCTGCGGGGGTGCGTACGCGCAGTAATCTCATCCACAGTCACTTCTTGTGAGCCATTTGGTATGTGCATTTTTCTACAGGCCAATACAAAACACCTGTTTTTTTTTTTTTTTTTTTACTGCAGTGAAGTAGAAATTCAGCCACATACCACCTTAGGGAATAAAGGTTAGGGAATAAAGGTTGCCAAAGTTTTATTTTTTTAATATAGGCTATATATATATATATATATATATATATATATATATATATATATATATATATATATATATATATATATATATATATATATATATATATATATATATATATATATATATATTTCTTTTTTTATTATTATTATTATTTTTTTTTTTGGAGGGGGTGGGGGTGTCACTGTAAGATTTAAATTTCTTAATGCACTAGTTTGTACAAACTACAAACTACTTTGCCGCAAACCACAAAAAGCGCAAAACCATAATTTAAATACGGTGTCTCCAACAGTTTTGCACTTTCCACCAGATATGCAATCACTCTTGTTAAATCACCCGCAAACCATGGTTCAGCCCCTCGCGCAAAATTCCAGTTTGCGAGCGCAAATTACTGCACGCAAAATTGGATCTTGATAAATCCGGCCCATAGTATTTTGCATGTGCTCTAATGCACAAGTGTTGGATGACACAAAAGGCCTTTATATTTTACATTACTCCTTTTTAAACATTGTTTAATATTTAGCTTATTTTAAAATCAGTGCATTGGGTTGAATTTGGGATATCGGAGCAAAGACAGCTAAATACAAATGCACAACAAATATTTTTCTTTTATCTTAAATTTCGCTAACCACACCTTGCTTCCAGCCTATGCTTTATTGATATATAGGACAGAATGTCAGTAAGTCACTCTATGGTGTAATGAGGTAAGTCCATGTACATTGAACCTACGTTTAAATCCTGAAAGGACAGCTGGTGTAAAAACTCTGCCAAGTCTTTATGCAAGTTCTAATGACTTGCCCTGATGAGCCCTAGATAAGGAAGCAACCAAAATGACTCACTCACATAAAAGCCCAATAACTTACACTGAATCTTGTAACATTGTAACATGAAAGGACAAGGAAATGTTCATGAGTTAATACTGTTTTGCCCTTATGTTAAAAATGACTTATATAGGTGTGGTCGGAAAATTTAGATTGATCTTGTCCTATATATTTAGTTATGCTATTTATCCAGTGAGAAATGTTTTTACTCAGTTTGTTTCACCTGTAAGGCTGAGAAAATTTCTGAGTGAGGGGTTGCTTCGGACAAAACATTCTTATTCCCACAACAAGCTAAATTGTTTCTCATAGTTTGTTAAAGTGTGTTTAATTTGTTTTGACTCTGACACAACCTTCTAAGTTTTTTCATCAACATAAGTAACAGAGACAAACTCTGTCAAGTCAGAACAGGGCTGATTACTGTGCCGTAAGGGCTGCATAATGAGCCGTTCTCTCTTTGCAAAGATAAGAAAATGAAGTGCCGACTGAGTGAAATCCATTGATCTCCATTTATTTAACTAGGGTGAATAGTTGAATTATTTTTTCCCAACTACAATAGGCATTGTTACTAACACACCCAACGGCATACACACACACCAAGTATCTCGGTTAAATTGATCATTATTATTGTAGATAAAAACAAACCAATAACATTTTGTTTAAAAGCTGTATGATTTTTTTTCTCACCTGAATAGGAGTGCTGTGTTCCCTCGCAGGAGACTCCAGAAAGGCCTCCGAAAGAGTAAATCCCATCTTTTTTAGAGAGGACTCTTTTGAATGACTCACTGATCTCCTTACTCTTCAGATCTTGGTAAATCTGACACACGAACACACTTTGTTACTGCACCTGAAGTTAGGCGGTGAAGTCAGACTGTGATTGGATCAGGACTCACGGAAACAAATTCACTGAAGCTGATCTTTTCATCTTTGTTAGCATCTCCAGCGTTGAAGCTCTCAACAATCTGCCTCACTTTGTACCCAGGCAGGTGGAGGCTCGCCTCTCTGAACAGCTCCTGGAGCTCAAAGTCACTCACATAGCCACTGTTGTCAATATCTAGACAAAAGAACAAAAAAACAAAAACATGGACATACATTTGTATATTTGAATACATGTTTTTAAGGATTTCAGAGTAGTTCTCAAATACAAATTAGGCTTTTATTAAGATTAATTCTTTTTTGTGGTAATTACTAAACACAACCAGATTTCTATTGTTTTCTACCTCTGTGTTTAATAAGATATCAGTGACGCAACTTGGGGACAGAACACTCGAGACTTGGTTTACACTAACATGAAATAGATAGATCACAATTTGACAGCATGTTCATAAAAAATTTATGATCCCCAAAAAATAGGGTTCTGTTTATAGACTTCTTGGGTTTATCTAATTATAGGGATATAAATTCAATAACTGAACAGCAGCAGAAATTTAAACAATTATTTTACTGGGGTTCTTGGGACTCTTCCTTACAACTCCTGTCCTCAGAATCCAAAATGGCTGCAGAACAATAAAGTCATATTGGCAGCTGCAATGGTGCTCAAATATTCAAACATGCAGACATTTTTATTGTTTTAGATAATTAATGCAAAAGAGCCTGGTGATGTAACAAATTAATTGACAAAAACGTCCAATTCCACAGCCAGCACTCTGATCCTCATGCTCAGTAGCCTTACAATTCAGTTTGTCAAAAAATAATTTGCATAATATCTACCTTTTGAATATTCAATACAAAGTTAACCTGTCCTAAAAATGTGCAACGTAAGCATCACACTTTGAGAACTATATCTGCGTTAGTTATCAGATTTATAATGCAGTTATCAACTTCCTTGAAAGATATGGAGATATATGACTATCAGAAAGGAAAAACCATGTTTTCATGTATGTTATATTTATTTGATATGAGCCATTCAGTACCTAAAAGCACAAAATCTAAGCTGTTCTTGGATCTTCTGCCTCAATGCACATGTTAGAGTTTTCACGCACCTTCAGATTAGGGTAAGCAGTTTATAAAACTACTAACCGATATGTGATAAAACAATGCATTTAAACTAATTTGTAGAACAAATAAAAACATATGAATCCCTGATAGTGTAAATGTGATTATATCTACTCATGTTTCTGGGTCTCTGGGGTTTCTGAAGTGAAAGAGCTTCCTGTCACTGTCATGATCTTGGCACTGATGACTCACTTAATTACTCATTTCATTCACCTGTCTAACTCTGCACCGTTTCTCATCACTGCTCATCTGATCCACAGGCTCCTGCCTCTATTTAAGGTGCTTGCATCCATTCATCACGGCCAAATTACGCTTGTTCTCTCTGGCAGGTGGTAAGAGTGTTTTTAGAGTTCCTAGGTGTTTCTGATTTCCTGATCCTGACCTGTTCTGCCTTTCAATCACTGAATCTGCCTGTTCATGTTCTGATATGTTTGCCTCAACTATCTTTGGACTCCTGGATCTCTGAGCCTGCCTGCTCCTGTTCTGATTTCCAGCATGCTCTTTGGGGATGCAGCATCTGGGACACTCTGGCCGGCGAAGCTCACATCTTTGTTGGCTGCCAATTGTCTGAATCCTACCTAATTCTCTGGGCACAAACTGTAAAACCAGGTAAGTGACTTACGGCTTCCTAATCATCCTCAGTCAGATTATCATGGTCACTAACCTGTGTTTCTCTCCTGTAGAGTTTTCTGCCTTACATGCCCTAGCCACTGCAGATCTGAAGCTGGTTTTAAATAAACACTTTTTTAATGATCCCACTGTCTTGCCTTGAATACTGGATCCCTCTGTTCTAAGTAATGATGGTCACAGAGAAGATATTTGCTGGTGCCTGGGTAGATCAATGTTGCTGCACACCTGAGAACACTTCTCCATAAAGATGATTAGGGTGTAAATAAGGAGATCAAGGACCATCTCTCTTTGTTGGATGATTTCCTCTGATGATATTCCAGCAAAAGAGCTAAACCAGGAATATCTTTGTTGAACATTTTTCTTCTTGTGAATCTCTTTAATGGGAACTCTTGTTATTGTTCCAAACAACCAGTGAACCTCAGTTGCTTTCTGATCTCCACGGAAAAGGTATACCTGTATGCAGCAGCTCTCAGTCTTCGTCGGCTCCCTGCCTGCTCTCCAGCAGCTCATCTTTTGCAAGTGACAATGTTATCTGATCTCACATGCAGTCTCCCGGAACTTAGGGGTCCAGTCTGCAAAGCCTGCAGAATCAAATCCCTACAGATCCATGCTACCTCCCCTTCAAATCTGAAGTAGGCAAATCAATCAGTGAACGGTTGTCATCAACCAACTCCTTTCTGATTTCTCCTTCCTTTCTTCTGTCAGACAAACCAGACAGTTCATCTGTCTTCTGCAGTACTCCTATTACAGATTCTTGTTGCTTTTTACATAATACATTAAAACTCAATGGTTTTGAGATTCTGCATGTGGGTCAAAAAGCTCCAAACCAAAATTACGGAATTTAAATCTAAGCTGTTCTTTGATCTTCTCACTCAGTGTAAATATTTGCGTTTTAACATGCCTTCAGATTATGATAAACAGTCCATAAAAATACAGACCCATATGTTATCAATTAATTACATCTGGACTCAATGCCTAGATCTAATTGCAAGAACACCTTGTTCCTTATAGAAAGCATGTCTACTTTTATTTCTTCGCTGTTTAAACCGTCTATTATTGAACAAATATTTTCCTGCTGAACAAAATACCAAATCCATTTTAGGGATTCAAATGATAAACCATCAAATATGAAAGTAAGAAAGATAAGGTGCAAGGCAACAAAGTCTTAAAAGTTAACATATAAAGACTGGAGTGCAGTTGAAATGATCAAATGTTGTATATGAAGCCCTGATAACATGTTATATCTTCTCATGTTTCATTGGCATAACATGAAGGAGAATAAAAGTAAAATGACGTGCAGTTTTGTTGATTGAAGATTACTTCGGTGTCCGTGTCCTTTTCCTGTTTAATAATTTCATCAAGGACAGACAAGATACTTTGATCTTTAATTGATAACTGATTTTTTTTAACTACTTCCTGTTTTTGATTATGGTTATAGATATGTAATTCATTGTGATTAATGTTTATACCTGGTTTATTTCTGACCTTTGGTCACCGAGAGCATTTTATAGAACAAGATATAAATTTAGCCTCATACAAATCACTCCCAGTTCTAAAGCAGGATACCGGTTTATGTTATAATTGGCCCATTGGCCCATTCCATTTCAACCCACCTTCAATCCAGAACCAAGAAGAACATCAGCTGAATTTATTTATGCTTACTGCAAAAAATCGGACTGATTTAAGGTTTTGCTGCATCTACTTCTTGTGCACTTATGGTGTGATTCTACAGCTACTACTCACAAACAGCTGTACGTGGAAAGCTTTAATTATTAAACAGAAAAGAAACTAATCATGAAAAGATGAACAATTGGATCATCTTTGGTCAGTCTATATAAGATTTAGAGATTATTAAATGCAATCTAGTTTCCTTCAAAAACAGAAAAATAGCCCTTTAGTCAAAACCAGAACCATAATTGAAATTCATACAGCAGCTTCAGCAACATCAGCTGCAAAATATTTTCCATAAATTACAGTAAAAAGCACACTACCCATATGCTAGACATGACATGCAATTAAATGATTTTCAAAATGCAGTATCCTTTATTATTAAAGCTGATTTTTTTAATACCATCATTTTAAAATAATAAACATATTCTCATTGATTGAAAAAGTCTACAGACATTTCACTTGCACATCTGAACACTCGTCAATTACAAAGTCCACACATGCAAAAATTCAGCCCATAAACATGTAATAAGACTTGTACTGTTATGTGCTTTACAACTGGCAGTAAATGTCTAACTTTGCTCTGTAATCCCAGCAATAAACCTGCAGGTTAAGGCTGTGTGTGAATATGAACAAAAAAGGTAACTGACCAATTTTATTAAAGGCTTCTCGGAGGTCTTCTAGATCCTCTCTGGAAATATGCGTGTAATGAGCATCCATAGCGGCTCCTGTTGTTTGTACCTACAACACAAACGCACAATAAAAATCATTTTGCATAGCTTTCGTAAGATGAATCTTGACGAACACAGAACACATTTAGTGAAGCTTTAAAATGACAGCAAATTTATATACCGGTAAATGAAATGATCTTCTTAATACATTTTTACACTATTAACTACACAGACACATATTCAAACGTATTAATAGTTAGTTTTAACCTAAGGTCAGGAGAGTCAGACTATCATAAGGAAACTAAAGTAAAAATGAAAAAAAAAAAGAAAGTGAATTGTACCTTGATTTAAAGGCCAACTGCAAGAGATGTGTGTTTCTGAGCTCTGCAGCTAGACACTAGAACAGAAAGAAGTTGGATCGTGGAGAAGCCAAGCAGCTGATTACAACTCTCAGGTGGAGTCACTAGGAGAAGGCTGACGGTGAACCTTTGGTCTGCTTAGACCTGTGACGGGCGGAGCTGGAATGTTAACATTTAACCATGGCATCATGCTTTTGTCTTTGAGTCGGGCATGGGGGGTTAAATTGTTCAAGAAGCATTTATCAGTGCTGTGGAATCAACAACAGGTTAAAAATGAATTTAAAAAGTATTATATGACGTAAAAGGAGTTTTACTAAAATGTCTGTCTTATCAGTTCAAATGCTGAGTCAATCAGGAATTAAAAATTGACACTTTCAATTTCCAAGCAAAATTGTACATTTGAGAAAAAGACAGTTATAATATTGAACATAATGTTTATTCCACATTATATATTTGCAACTGTATTAATGTCAACTGTATGTGCACACCATCACAAAAAGTAGATCCCTTGTATGTTTAAAACACTATTTGACATACTAAAAATATGCTAGAACCAGGGTTGGTAAGATCATCCTTGGGGGATGCTGTTCTTCAGAGTTTATTAGAAGATGGACAAAGTTGGAAGAATTGCTGTTAGAGAATAGAAGGGTTAGGACCTTGATGTATGTCAGCCGTCCAGCAGGACAATGAGACTACATGCGGAGCTGCTATAGAGAGGTTTAGATTTCAGATCAGAAAAATGGCAAGTCCTGACAAAAACTTGAATCTTCTTGTTGAAAAGAACCTTTTCATCCATTCTTTCTGACATTCTGCAAAGAAAACTGAACAAAACAGTTTTATGTTAGATTTACCATCAGTGTGTCAAAAACAACCTGTTATGTTTCTTTTCTGTCTTTCAGAATAAAATACTCCCTCTGCTGTTTTTCCAGGGGAGGTTTACTGGATTGTATCAGCCTGTGGTTTTTATATAGCTTTTTATATATATATATATAAAAAGCTCAGTTAATTTATGTAACTTTATGAATGTGTCATATGTCATAAAAATATACCACACCTCCAGCTGCGGGTTCACTCAGTAAGCTAGGCAGAGCTTAGGTTAGTAACATCAATGTCACTGTAATAAGAAAACAGTCAAATAAAGCAACTTTAAAGTTTAATTTTCAACATATTCACATGTAAGATTGGATCTGAAATTTACTGTGCGAGTAGCCCTTAAGATCTTACTTTGCAGAACTTTACACTTAAGCATTAGTGAGCTGCCTATTTACAACATTTTAGGTGAAAAGTTTGGAGTTTCTGTGGCTATAGTTAACATTATACATTATGCAACCAGTTTAATCACAGTTAGAGTATGCAGTGGGAAGCAGGAATCTGAGTTAAGAGCTTACATCAAATCCCAGGCACGCTGAAAGGGCAGAAAATCCACAATCTGCCAGTGCAGAGTGCAAATCAGCTTCCAGAGGAGTAGTTGCAGTTCCTTTTTTCCCCTTAAAATACTTTCTTGCCCCTCCTTTTAAGTATTTCCTCTCTGGTGTTTTTCTCCCTCTCTGTATTTAGAGAGAGGGAGCAGCTTGAAACACCAAAAATAATAAAAAATCGATTGGGTAATCCCTAGCACAATCTTCCATTTTGTCCTAAACCATCAGCTTAGACAAGTTGACGACAAAAATTCATATCAACACATGAATCCTTCACATGTACCTGGTGTGTATCTTCTTGTTCCCCTCAGCTCTTTTCTTCCTCTGACACCTGATAAGCCTTGTCTCACTCCATGACTCTGAGGTGCTCTCCAGTTACCCTCCTATCCTCCCTGCTGATCTCAGGTTAGCAACCCTTCAATATGCACAGGACACATCTACTCACTTGCCCTGAACCTAGATCAGTTCTTAGCACCAAAGACCTCTCATAAGCCTCTTGCATTATTCATCAAACCGAAGACCGCATATGGAGGAGAAAACCCCCCACAAACATTGTACAGTCATGAATAAAACCCAAGAGTCTGACTGAAAATGTTTTTTGCTTTAGCAATCACTTTTGTACAGCACCCTGAAAATCAGTCCCAAAATCAACGTTATACAAAGTTTTCAATGAAATCAGCAGTGTTATCTGTGTAAAAATATTGTTTTCTACTATGGATTATTGAGACTGAGAAGGTTTCTGAACTAGAATATTTTATTTAGAAGATTGTTTTAGGGTAAGTTGTAATCGCGCTCCCTCTTGTGGAAAAGAGGATACCCTACACTAAATGGTCTCAATGTCTCAGTGCCTGTGTTACACAGTTATAATTCACATAGTCCTGAACAATTTTAAGTGCCATCTCCTCTCCAGTCCAATCATTCCTGCCTCCTACTTCCTGTAGATGTGTTTTTTTCTCCTTGATGTTCCTGCAATCACTTTGTGAAGAACATTGTGTCACTTTCATCACACCAGAACAGATATTACATTTAGTCGAGCAAGTCCAAGTGCCGGCAGATCAGGTCGCTGAGGCCTTGGCCTCTGACTGCTAGCCAATCCCTTGTTCCCCCTGCAGGTGTTGGCGCCACTGGGGAAAGGCCTCGCCTCACTCGGGCTGGGCCTGGCTGGGCCCCACAAGAATCCAACCACCAGGTGGTCGCCGCCTAACCCCAATTATATAGGCTTATCTTTTCTTTGGCTCATTTTCAGGTTATGGTGGATCAGGTTAATAAAGCTATTGGTTTTGTCACACTTCCCTGTTGCTTGTTGGTAGTGCTTCTGAAGCAGCCCAAAAAGAACACAGCATTGTTCTCCAGAACCTGTTGTACAGATCAAGAGCAAGTTTTATAGATTGACATGAGAGTGCACAGAGCAAAGGGTAATATTTTGATTTGATATGACTAATTACATTAGATAAACATTCAGTGGGAGAAGAGTCCTGACTCCTGCTAATGGTCCAATTATTTGATTCAGCTCTCCCCAATCCCCAAAGATTGGTTTGATTCTGTGCATTGAATTAATTCTCTTAAAAAAAAAAATGATTGTAGACTTAATAACATTTTATCATTTCATCACCAAGGGCTTAAAGTTAGATTCTGTATATATGTTTTATGGGTTTGTGTTGTAAAAGTCACCATATAAACCATGTCCCCTGCTCACCACTACTGCAGGTTGAGTTCCAGTGGTTGAGGCTTCCTTCAGCTGCAACGAGGCCCCTTTGGCTACCTAGGCTACGTTCACATTGCAGCCTGAAATGACCCAAATCCGATTTTTTTGCCCATATGCGACCTGGATCTGATCTTTTCATGGCAGTCTGAACAACATAGATCTGATTTTTTCCAATCCGACCCAGGCCACTTGGCTATGTGGTCCTGAATCCTATACGAATCTAATCTTTTCAAATGCGACCTGTGTCTGAATGGCCAGATCGCATTCATCCGACCTGAACGTGATTAATACCCGACAAATATGAGGTTCCATTTGTATCAAAAATAAGCAGATGTAAAATGTCTAGTTGTTGTGCTGTAGTTGCATATGTGTTGTCTGCATATGTCTATGTTTCATATGAAAATGTTGTATATGACAATGTTGTATATGTAGATGCTGTGTATGTCTATGTTGCATATGTCAATGTTGCATATGTACATGTTGACACTATGGGGCGTAATAGGCCAATGGACGCTAACTTGGTGGTTTTATGAAAGCCATTTAAAACTGATAATACTTATCTTTCCAGGACATTTAAAATGATCAAAATGCCACCAATAATTCATAAAAAGGGTTAACTCAAATAATAGGCCTCAATAATAATGCATTTTGATGTTTAAAGTTATCAAAATGCCACCCTTTTTTATTCAGAGGCTCTGGGGTATGGCCTCTTACGCTCCCTAGTGGCCGAAAAATTGTATGAGGTTGCGTTTGTGTCAAAAAATTATGAGGTTCGGTTTGTATCAATAATAAGCAGATGTAAAATGTCTAGATGTTGTGCTGTTGTTGAATATGTGTTATCTGCATAATGTCTAAGTTGTACATGTATTTGTTGCATATGTAGATTCTGCATATGTAGATGCTGCATATTTAAATACTGCATTGGTTAATGCCTTTGCTCTTAGCTGTTGGTCCTTGTCGTTGGTCTTTGATGCCTGTTCCCCTCGCCATTACAAAAAATGGAAGTAGATTTTTTTTGTGTTTATTAGAAATTACTGAAATATTGTCTTTTCATTTTCAATAGCTTCGAAATGTTTAGATTTCGGCGAATCTCGTATTTACTTCAGGCATTAATTAGGACAGCAAAGGAGGAAGGAGGAGGCGTAGGTTGAAATAGCGACGGGGGGGATACGTTAATTTATAGGCTTAAAACTTTAAAATAACCCCAAGAGACCCTGCATCTGTCCTGTGAATAAATGTGTGCGCACATCGGCATGATTCAAAGTGCTTTATATGGTATCTAGTGTCTGGAAGACCGGGATTTTCAATCGCAGCTCAACCAACCGAACAATTTTTCTGCCACTAGGGGGCCTAAGAGGCCATACCCGAGAGCCTCTGAATAAAAAAGGGTGGCATTTTGATAACTTTAAACATCAAAATGCATTATTATATAAACCTATTATTTGAGTTACCCCTTTTTATGAATTATGGGTGGCATTTTGATAATTTTAAATGTCTTTCAAATATATGTATTATCAGTTATAAATGGATTTCATAAAACCACAAAGTTAGCGTCCATTGGCCTATTACGCCCCCCTACTGCCAACATCTACATATGCAACGTCTACATATGCAACATAGACATACACAGCATCTAAATAAACAACGTTGTCATATGCAACGTCTACATATGCAACATAGACATATACAACATAGAGATACACAGCATCTACATATACAACACTGTCATATGCAACATTGTCATATGCAACATAGACATATGCAGACAACACATATGCAACAACAGCACAACATCTAGACATTTTACATCTGCTTATTTTTGATACAAACAGAAACTCAAGGGAGACGTTTTATAGGGTTCAAAAATCTGTAATTGTTAAAAATTACGAAGAAAGAAATAGAGGGGAAGAGATCATTTATATTAGATTAAGAACCGGCCATACCTACTTGGATGAGTTTTTGTTTGTACTAGGGAAGAGAAATAATGACTTATGTCAGGGTTGTGAAAGAAAAGAAAATGTTGATCATGTTTTGATGGATTGCATTAAATATGCACCTGAAAGAGAGAGGATGAGGAAAGTAATTATGGAAAAAGGGAGAGATTGGAGTATTAAAGGAATTTTAGGGACAGATGGAGATAGGGAAGAAATTTTGGTTATTCATAAAGCATTGTTTTCATTTTTACATAACACAAAAATAAAAAATAGAATATAATAGGTGGAACTGTTTGCTGTTTGCAATCCGCCATTCAACATAGAAGAAGAAGAAGTAGTAGCTTTAGAGGAGCTGTTGATAGATTAACAGCTGAGCTGCTTATGCTGCCAAGGTGGATACATACATTTTATGTATTCTGGATTATGTGTAGAGCTGATTGTGTAATTTGTATATTATTGTGAAGGAATAATTTCAAACTTGTTTATCCAAAAGGCTGTTTTTCTTCAGAAAAGATGCAAAAAAATATGGCCGCTTTGTACTTAAATTTGTCTTCAGCTCCTCAGCTGCTTTCACTGTCACCATCTGCTGCTTATTTCGTCACTTACTCACTTAATCACCTCTCTCTATAATCCTTGGCTTTCATCCCCATACTATCCTTTGGGTTTGTCTGCCATTAGACCTCACAGTCCTCACTACTTTTTAAAATGGAACATCAGAGCATATCTCAGTGCAGACCTATGTTTAGTTCCTCTAATTGGTCAATAAAGCAGTCAAATACAACAATTTTTTTATGTAGAAGCTCCATAAATTAGAATACAATGAGAAAATAAATGTTTTAGTAATTCAATAAAACAATTAAACTTTTATATCATATAAAGAAAACACATAGAGTCGTGTTAAAAGTATTTATTCCAGAAAATGTCTTTTTTTTTTTTTTTTTTTGAAAAATTGAAGCGTGTCAATACAAATTTGTCCTAGTTATCAACTTCAACTAACAAAAGTTATATCTGTGTGGTTGTCCTTGAAGCGCCAGTTTTTCTTATTGTCAGACCTTTTCAATTTGTAAACGATTGCTTTTGTATTCTTTTTAATTCCAATGAGGAGGGATTGAAATGAATGGCTCTGTGAGGTGGGACTGGTGGAGGGAGCTGGTGAAGGGACTGTGATGTTGGGCTGTGGGCGGCACTGATGATGTGGGGTTTTGTGGGGCCGCAGTACTCTTGGCCTGACGTGTTTGTGTAGTTATGTAATATATATATATATATATATATATATATATTTCTGTGTGTTTGATTTATTTGCAAGGGAGAGGGGGTATGAAAAAGAAGTTTAACTTCTTCATACACCTTCTAAGACAATTTACATTAATCAATGTCAGTTCTCTGGCTATATATACAGACAGGTTTATTTGGTGGAGGGTTTTGTTTCTATTTATGTTCAGGTGAGTTTTGTTAGTTTGGAAATAGTTGTTTGGTTTGATGTTAGCTAGTTATTTTCATGTATATTTAGTTGATTCATTTAATGTTGTTTAATTTATTGTTTAAAATAAATTCCTATATTCATTCATTCATTCAAACCCTTTTCCTTCCACTCAATTTTATATTAACATAACATGCTTAAATAAAGAACCCTGAAGTTGTTTTGCTGTACACTGGTCTCGTATGGTATTTAGATATGTAAATTATTATAAGGGACTGCATATTGAATTAAAAAACATCATCATGTAAATGAAGAGGAATCAATCTGTGTGTGATGAAACTATTCCTTTTAAACGCAATCTTTTTTATATTCACGTCAACATACTAAAATAAATGTGCCAATTGAGGTCTTTACGCTCACAGAATCGAGCGCAGGGGGCGTGTCAGCTGCCTGTGGTCACATGGGCCGGAAAATGTGGGGCTTAATTCCTGTGTTTGACTGCTCTCAGCTGCTGCTCCTTTGCCCTACGCACTTCAAACCGCCCGTCCTCCCCATCCCGACCACCGACGCCCAGGTGGACTCTGCTCAACGCGACATGTCGGGTAAGACAAGGCGCGGCTCGGGACGCAGTTTACCTGCGAACAGCGCCTCTGATCTCGGCCTCTCTCTGGGCCGGACCGCAGCTCGGAGAACTGTCTATCAAAATTTAGGGAAACGTCATGGAAAACAGCTGCTTCCCCTCTCACGGCTCCCGTCCCATGGGCATCGATTATTTGTTTAACTTTCAACGATAATGTTATTTTTTTTTTTACTTCTGAGTATTTAATTTTTTGCATTTGAAGAGTCTGTGCAACGATTTGGACTGAAGTCAAGTTAGACGGTCAAAGGCAGCATATCCGGTTTACAGAGTTTACTATAAAACAGTTTTTGAAGTCGTGCTTATCTCCCCAGATTTTTTACAATCCCTCGGGGTCCTAGATTTATGAACCAGGTTGTTCTCTTTTTAATGGTTCAAAGCGGGGGTGGTCAAAGTGCAGCTGGGGCCAGTTTGTGGTTCCTGGACCGAATAAGCAATCCAACAATACAAATTTACTCTGATTCACATGTTCACTTTGTAATGATTTATGATGTGGTATATACAGTTCAAACACTGCTTTATTTATTTATTCATTCATATATATATATATACGTGTGTGTGTATATATATATATATATATATATATATATACGTGTGTGTGTATATATATATATATATATATATATATACACGTGTGTGTGTGTGTGTGTAACCGGTTCCCTTCTGCGTTGTGCTGGTTATTGGTAATTAGTCAGGCCGTGACTCGGTTTGGCTTTCTTCGATTTATTCTGACGAAAACATTAAAGAGAAAAGCAATCGTTTTACAAGCTGCCCGCTCCAAGTCCTCTCCCGCAGGACAACATGACAAAAGGGCCGGATCATGTCTCACAACATTAAACAAAATAAACCTTCTTTACACAACATACCTGACGAAAACATTAAAGAGAAAAGCAATCGTTTTACAAGCTGCCCGCTCCAAGTCCTACACAAACAAAAATACATAACAGAAATTAACTTAATAAATCTATAAATAAACTGGAAGTATTTAGATAGGAAATAAATAGGACACACCTCTCCCGCAGGACAACATGACAAAAGGGGAGGGCCTAAGGGACGCAAACATTTTAAAGACAAAACCATAAAAGAAGAAATAAAAAAAAAGGAGGGGCTACCGTTCTTAAACTAACACGTTCAAAACAATGACAGCTTTTCGGTCAGGTAGAGAACAATACGAACAACCAAAAAAAGAAGACATTTTGTGTAATTATAACAACAACCAGGTTACATTCACCCCCCTAGAATTACACAAAATAAAAAAAAACAGTGATAAAGACACTTAGTAGCAGTACAATTTTTTTCCATCAGTTTTCTTTTTTTTTTTTTTTGCAACAATGTAACACATCAGCCAAACAACTACCCTACAACAAGGTCAGGAGACTAGAGGTTGCTCGACGGCCAGCAAAATCTCACAGTATTCAATGGACAACAAGAGGTGCCTTTTACACCCCCCCCCCCATACAGAGTAAACACATAAATGGTACTGAAGCTTATGCAAACCAAGATAAAGACAATCCTAGCCAATGGCAGGAATCATATGAGAATTTGGAAACTCACACGTCAATAACAGTTCGAACATTATCCTTATCATAAAGCGCCTCAATGACGGCCATGGACTCTATCAGGCGACAAACTGGTTTAATAACCCTCCCAAAGCGTGAGGTTAGGCGGCGAACAACATCCTCACCCACCCTGTCTGGAGGATGAACAGAGCCAGCAGCATCAGGAAGATGAGGTAAGGAACCAGCAGTCGCCAGTACTCCTGTTTCCATAGAGGAGTTTTCAGGGTCATGAGACAGGTCACTGTTCCCAACTGATGGAGCCAAGGACACGTCCTGAACCCATGAGGCAGTACGGTCATCCCCATCACTGCAGGACAGGGAGTCAGGTAGGGAAGGCTCAGCAAGAACAGCACTAGGAGCCTCACTAAAACTTCCTGTTCCATGTGAATCAGGAACCGGGGGGACTCGAACCACACTATCAACCTGGCGGTTCACATTCCCATCCAAGGTCATTCCCACAGGTAAAAAGTTCACGTCAAGAAGGAGGTTGCGATGCACCACACGCTCGTTGCCATGACGATCTCTAACACGATAAATATGGAGAGCAGGTTTTGAGGCAACCACCGTGTACATCACAGGCTCCCATTTATCAGAAAGCTTTCGCTTTCCACTGGCTCCCATGTTTGCCACCAGGACCTGATCTCCAACTGACAGAGGGTGACCCTTGACTCTCTTGTTGTACTGGTCACATTGATGTTTCTGCTCTGCACTGGTGTTCTTCTCAGCCATTAGCATGGCAGAACGTAAATCTTCAACCAGTGATTTGACGTAAGTGTGGTAGTCACAAATAGCATCATCATGAAGAACGTTCTGAAAAACAAGGTCAACAGGCAGCCTGGGAATCCTCCCAAACATCAGATAGAACGGTGCAAAGCCTGTGGTCTCATGAACCGTGCAGTTGTAGGCGAAAGTCAGAGACTGGACCATCTGAGGCCATTTATGCTTCGAACGCGGAGGCAGAGATCTCAACATGTTGCCCAGAGTGCGATTGAATCTCTCTGCAGTCCCATTACCCATTGGGTGGTAGGGTGAGGTGTGTGATTTACTGACACCACTCAACTCTAAAAGCTCAGCCAGCAGCTCACTCTCAAAATTTGCACCCTGATCTGAGTGAATGCGCTGGGGGAAGCCATAAACACAGAAAAACCCATCCCATAACTTTTTTGCAACTCGTTTAGCAGTTTGATCCTGACACGGGAAAGCATGTGCTAACTTTGTGAAGTGATCAGTGATCACCAGAACATCCACAGACTTGTTGTTACTGTCCTCAGCTGACCAGAAATCAATACACACCAGCTCCATCGGAGCACTGGTCCTGATGTTCTCCAGAGGGGCTCTCACAGCAGGCTCTGGGGTTTTACTGAGGACACATCTGGGACATTTTCTCACATAATCTCGCACATCTCTTTCCATGTCATGCCAAAAGAAACGATGACGAGCCAAGGAGAATGTTCGTGGCTGGCCCTGATGACCTGCACTATCATGAACACCAGTCAGAACCACAGACTTCAAAGCATCAGGGACCACAAACTGGAAGCGTTTACCTTTTGTCAGAGGGTCTTTTATGACACGGTAAAGAATGCCATTCAGCAATGTTAGTTTATCCCACTGCTTCAGAATTTTTAGAGCCAGTTGATTTTCACCAGAGCGTTCCCGCCTTGATGGACGGCGTCCCCGCTCAACGTACAGGACAACTCTGGAAATAACAGGATCGTTTTTCTGGTGAGAGACCAGGTCAGTTAGACAAAGAGCTGTTGATGGACCTGTGGTGTGTGGGATTATCATGCTCAGATGATCAGCTAAAGATGCTGCATGCTGAGTCTGACCAGCATCTTCACTGCAGGCAGATGACAAAAGAGAGGAGACTTCGTCACAGGTCATGGACATGTCAGCTGTGATGGAGGAAGAGCTGTCCACTGATTGAAGCTGACAGGTCAAACGGAAAACATCCTGCACAGCATGATCAGGGACCTCACAGACATGCTCCAAAAGTTCCTGACAAGGTTCTGACAGAAGGCGATCAGCCAAAGGCTTCACAAAAGGAGCTCTGCTCAGAGCATCTGCCACCACATTCTGTCTCCCTGGAACATACCTGATTTCAAAGGTGTATGGAGCAAGCTTAGAGACCCAGCGCTGTTCACAAGCATCCAGTTTGGGCTTGGTCAGGATATATGTGAGAGGGTTATTATCCGTCCACACAGTAAACCTGTGACCCTTCAGCCAATGGCTGAACTTATCACATACAGCCCACTTTAAGGCTAGGAACTCGAGCCTGTGTGCAGGATAGTTGGCCTGGCTGTGGCTGAGAGTCTTGCTGGCAAAAGCAACAGGTCTAGCAATCTCTCCATCAGCTGGGACCTGCGACAAAACAGCACCGAGCCCATCCAACGAAGCATCGGTTGAGAGAATAAATGGCTTCTCAAAATCAGGATGTGCCAGCACCACACAGTTGAGAAGTGCAGTTTTAAGGTCTCCAAACGCTTTCTCACAAGCTGGAGTCCAGTCCTGGGGAGTCAGAACACGAAGGGTTCCAGCTTTCCCGTGTCCTTTGCTCTTTACTTTACGTTTCTGACCTGCAGTGAGGGCATAAAGAGGCTTTGCGATGCGGGAACAAGCTGGAATAAAGTGCTGATAGAATAGCACCATGCCCAAGAATGACCTCACCTTCTTCTGGCACGGAGTACAGCCATCCTCCTTTATGAGGTCTTTTCTTTCAAACCCTGAGATGACCCTTACCTTCTCCTGATCAACAGAAACACCACCAGCTTCCACAACATGGCCCAAGAACCTCACAGACCTCCTGAGAAAGTGACACTTTTTCTGGGCCAGCTTCAAGTTGTTTGCTCTCAGGCGACAGAAAACAACCTCCAGCCTCTTTAACGACTCCTCCTCAGACGGTGCAAATACCAACAGGTCATCTAGATAGCAGAGGAGGCTGGAAAAGTTCAAGTCACCAAAAACATTAAGCATCATCCTCATGAAGGAAGCTGGGCTGTTGCATAAACCTTGTGGGAGACGGTTGTACTCATAAAGTCCAAGCGGCGTGGTAAAAGCAGTGTAATGTTTGTCGGACTCATGGAGAGGGATGTTGTAGAAACCAGAGGTCAAGTCCATGGTGCTGAACAGCGCATTCCCACCAAGAGCAGCAAGGCAGTCAGACTGATGGGGCAATGGATGGGCATCCTTAACGGTCTTAGCATTAAGCCAGCGGAAGTCAGTGCATATCCTCATGTCCCCAGACTTTTTCCACACCATAACAAGCGGGGAGGCATATTCACTAATAGACTTCCTTATGATACCCTTCATCTCCATCTCAGACAAGACCTCCCTCAACTGCTGATAATGTGCTGGTGGTATGCGTCGATAAGGCAAGCGAAATGGCTGGTCATCAGCCAAGTGAATGCGA